GGAAAGCTGCCCATTTAGCAGCGTAAGACGCAATGGTAGAGGGCGCCCGCGCACTCTGAATCGTGGCGACCACATCATGCGGCAGCCCAGAAGCCTCTAAGCGTGACCGCTCAGCGGCCAGACCCACAACCGTTGGCCTATTTCCGGAGGATGTTTGATTATTCCATCCGCCTGGAGAAGGGCGTCCGCCCTCCACAGGAGCCTCCACGGGGAGCCGGACACTAGCGCTTGCAGGTCCGGAAAGCATGACGCGGACAAGCGCCTGGGAGCCACCAGAATCACCGAGAGCCGTTCCGACCGAATTCGGTCTAAGAGACGGGGAATCAGAGGGACTGGTGGAAACGCATAAAGGAGCGCTCGAGGCCAGGGCTGGTGTGAGAAGGCGTCCGCCCCGAGCGGAGGTCCATCCCGGGGACTCAGGGAAAACCACAGGCGACACTGAGCGTTTTCGCGAGCCGCAAACAGATCCACAGACGGTTCCCCGAACCTGATCCAGATCTGTGATATCAGTGCGGGATGCAGACGCCAGTCGGAGTCGCGGGGTCCCCCTCTCGACAGGATGTCTGCCGCTACATTCAGGACCCCCGGAATGTAGATGGCTCTGATGGACAGCAGGTGGACATGTGTCCAACACAGTAAATCTGTGGCGACACGCAACAGAGGGAGGGATCGAACTCCCCCTTGGCGATTTATGTAGGCTGCCGCCACCTGGTTGTCTGTGTGAACTTCGACATGACGGCCCTCGAGAAGGGCAGCAAAGTGTCTGATCACATTCCTCACTGTCATAAGCTCCAACACATTTATGTGCTCGTGCGTGTGGGAGGGCCAACGATCTGCCACCGTATGGGACAAGCACGTGCCCCCCCACCCCGACAGTGACGCATCCGTAAACACAGATACGTGTGACGCAGGACGTCCGATGGGAACCCCGCGTGAGAGGATGCAGGGGTTCCCCCAGTGAGCGAGGTCCCCGCCCACTGAAGGGGGAATCCTCAACATACGTCTCTTCTGACGTATCGGGTGCACCCGGAGGCGGGTGAACCAACGTTGCAAGCGCCTCGTGTGCAGCAAGCCTAGCGGCACCACCGAATGGGCTGCGGACATCATGCCCAGGACTTTCATGACTAACAGGGCTCTCACGATCTTGCGGGGTTGTACACGGGAGATCACCGTGGAGAGATCTGCCGCTCTTGCAGGCGACAAACGTGCTCTCATTAGGGAGGCGTCCAACTCCACCCCGAGATACACAATCGACTGGGATGGAAGAACGGAGCTCTTTTCCCAGTTTATAGAAAACCCCAGGGTCGACAGATGCTCTGTCAACCTCCTGGTTTGCCGTGACGCCTCGTCCTTGGACCGAGCGCACAGGAGAAGATCGTCCAAGTAAAATAAAACCCTCATTCCCTCCGTGCGCAGTGGCTGCAGCGCGGTCTCCAGACATTTGGAGAAGGTGCGCGGGGCTAGCGAGTAGCCGAAAGGGAGGCGATTGAACTGATATTGAACTCCCTTGAACGAAAAACGCAGAAACTTCCGGTGATTTGGAATTACTGGTATGTGGAAGTATGCGTCTTTCAGGTCGATTGACGTGAACCAATCCCCGGGGCGCACATATTCCAGGACTTGTCTCATCGTTAACATGCGGAAATGCATTACTGCTATGGAGCAGTTGAACAGGGACAGGTCGAGAATCGGTCTCATTCCTCCCGACTTCTTCGGTACTATGAAGTAGCGGGAGTAGAAGCCCGAGAGCTCTTGTCCGCGAGGGACTCGTGAAATAGCGTCCTTGGACAGAAGTTCCCGCAACTCCAGCTCTAGGGCCTGAGACTGTGCTTGCGATGTGAACGTCGTCTCCACGATCCCGTTGAAGGGAGGTGGAGTGACCTGAAAATGAAGTGTGTGACCGCAATGAATGGTGTCCGAAATCCATTTGCTCATGATACAAAGGCGGCGCCACTCGTGCGCGCGTTCCGACAGTGGACGCGTGTGCGCGGTCACGTGAGCAACGACTGAGGGTTGTGCATGCGCCCTTACTGCCGTCGCCCGTACCAGAGAACTGGGGGCGACCCATGGAGGGCTGCGCTCGAAAGGGCGAGTGCAAAACAGCTGGAACAGGCTGGTCCGCACCGCGGAGCGTGGAGTCCGAGAGTGAAGGACGAGTGGGAGCCGAGCCTGTGCACGGGGGCGACAGAGTGCCCACGGATGAAGCCGCGCACTGTGCCGCCGCGCGTGGTCGAGACAGCGACCTGACATCTCGCCCCACCCGACGATGTAGTGAGAGCTGGGAGAGTTGGGCCCGGCAGGATGCTGGGGCCGGAGCGCAAATGGAGCGCACCCTTACGGTTGGCCGTATATTATGACTGCCTGCAGGAACATGTATGCGTGCAGCAGTGCTTGGTGTGGGGAACATGTGTGAGAACTCGGCAGAGGATTCTGCGGAGGACTGTAGGATTGTGTTCTTTGAGTGACATGTTTTGGGTTTTATTTCAAAACCAACATCAACATCATTACAATCATGTACACACACATTCCCCCCAAAGAGTCACTTCCGTGGCTGTTTTCGGGGAGGCTCGTGCACCTGGGACTGCCAAGACGGCGTCTGCTGGCCCCGCCGGAACCGTTGCCCGCCATCTCGCTGGTCCCGCTGATGCGGAGCCGAAGCGGGAGGCCGGCTCAGTGGAGCGGACGGTGCAGCTGGGCGTTTGAAGCTTCCGCGCCGTTCGTCCCATCCTCTGGCAGAACGGCCGGAGTGCGAGGCTGACCGAGGGTGAACCAGGTCTCGTACCGTAGCCGATAGTTCGGCCGTCTTCTGAGCCCTCTCAATGACGCCCCTAAGATGGGGACCAAACAGAACATCGGTGGTGATGGGGCCGTCCAGCATCTCCCTTTGCAGATGTTCCGGAATGGAGGGCAGGGCCTTGAGCCAGATCGCTCGCTGGATGAGGGTCTGCCAGGCAGCGATGCGAGCAGAACCGGTGAGCACAGCAGCACACAAATTGAGGATAGCATCAGCAGTCTTAGTAATGACGGCTTTCGACTCCTCGGGGGCTTCCAGCTCCTCCATCATCCTCGAGACGCCGAAGGCAAGGAGGGCGATGTTATTCCCTGCAGCGCCGGTCTGAAAGGCACACTGATGTGCGCGGTCGGTGAGCCGCGTCCGCTGCTGGTCATGTTTTGAAGCGGGAACAGCTCGCGGGCCAGCGAGGTGGTTCTTGGCGCCAAACAGCGAGGCCAAGTCCGGCTCTAGCGGAGGAACGGACGGCCAGCCTTGGTCGGAAAACCCCTCGACCTTGGTGATGGGCGCATAGGAGGAGACTGGCGCCTTGAGCTTGGCAGGCTCGGAGAAGGCGGCAGACCAGCAGCTCATAGCAGCGGGAAAGCGCGGCCAAATAGGGTCTAGACAGCGTGTCTGAGTTGCCCCGAAGATTCCCGCCAAATCATCCGCTTCAGGCGGGGCTGGTTCTGGCACAGCTAGCCCCTTGTGGGCTGCTGCCGCAGAAATGATGGCGGGCAGCTCCTGGAGCAGTGCTCTTACTGCTGGCAGGGAGGAGCGAGAAGCCACTGGGGCAGAAGGACCCGCTGGGCGGAGCTCATCGACCTCCGTTATGTCTAGGAGGGATGCCGCCTCGTCGTAGTTCTCGCTGTCGGTGACGTCATCCAGCCGGTTGAAGCCAGCCGGCTCCTGACCGGCGTCGAAGAAATCCAACGCCTTGTCCAGCGGGTACGAGTCAGCCACCGGAAATTCTTCGTCGGCGGCGGGAGTGAAGTACTCGACCCGGCGAATCTTCTCTGCCACGGGCAGAGCGGCACAGAACGGGAACGAGGCCTGCGGGGTCAAGGCCAGGCCAGCGTGGTGAGCCCCGAGACAGACCTCATACTTAGCGTGCAGGTCTCCGCTGGAAATGGAGCCCGACTGGCAGGTCGGGCAGGGTCTGGCGTCGCTGGACATGGCTGGTAAGTCTTCTCGGATAATCTTGCTCCTTCTGGATAAATTTGCTCTTTAAGAAGCTCTCAGCTTGGCATGAAGAGAAAAAGGAGGCGAGCAGTGGGGTCACTGCGGTTATATACCACGAGGGAGCCCACTATTGGTGGGCGTACATTTAAGCTCTTCATGATTGGCTGATGCGGAGATCATCCTTCCAATAGCAGCTCGCTTAAGGGCTAAGACTAGACGAAATAGAACTTTTTGCTTTCCTTGACGTTGGATGTGTTACTGCTAGTTTACCCATTTAATTATAGATCCACTAGGATAAATACAATAAAGTTTATCTTTCACCAAATAGAATATTTACTAAGAAATCACAATATAACTATAGACACATTACTTGTCTTTGTGTGTGTGTGTGTGTGTGTGTGTGTGTGTGTGTGTGTGTGTGTGTGTGTGTGTGTGTGTGTGTGTGTGTGTGTGTGTGTGTGTGTGTGTCTGCTCTGTCTTCTTGATCCCCAGTGAGTCGTGGTGGATGGCTGCTTATACTGAGCCAGGATCCTCTGGAGGTTTCTTCCTGTTAAAAGGGAGTTTTCCTCTCCACTGTCACTTTATGCTTGCTTAGTATGAGGATTGCTCTATAGTCACTGACACTAGTCAGCAATTTGCTGGATTCCTTATATAGGAAACATTATTTCTGATTGGCTTAATGAATTGACCTGAATTGGAATGTTTATCATGTGAAGTGCCTTGAGACGACTCTTGTCGTGATTTGGCGCTATATAAATAAACTTGAATTCAATTGAACTTAGCCTCACATTAGAAAACTCAGATAACAGGCATCCTAACAATAAACTGGATTTATCTGTGTAATTATATTGCAAAACAATAAAAACCGACCAGCCACCATGAGGAATTTGACTTGTACAGAATTCAATACCGAAGGTTTTTTCTTAGAGAGTCCTAAATCTGAAAGAAAGGAAGAGCTTTTGGAAACAGGCGAGTCAAATGTGACACATTTGGTATTAAAGGTGTTAAGTCCAGAACAGGATTTACAGTATAAACACAGAAGTGATACCTTTGCCTTCTGCATGACGTTCCCTTTAGAGGAGGCGTAAAGAGACGGAGGGCGTTTACGGAGCTCAGATGCTGAGTTCACAGGTACAGTCTCGTTGTAAATCTTTTCAACTTTGTTTCCTGGTTTCTGCAAACAAAAACGACACAAAAAACATCTTCTGTAATAATAAATCTGGGGATTTAATGTGAGGCTTTAACACAAACACGTCTCTGCACACCTTGGTGTTTATCTTTGCGTCAGTGGGAGGACCCAGCGCTCCTCTCGCCAGCGATTTCTTTAGATTTTCCTTGACTTCTGTCAGTCTGAGCTCCAGCTCCACCCGCTCCTCCTCTTTCTGTTTACATAACGTTTCCAGCTCAGCAAACCGCTTTTCCACACTGTGACCTACGAACAAACACACCCACGCTTGTAACAAGAGTCATTCTGACATTTTAACTGTGCTTTGTTTGAGGGTTCTCCCTGACCAGTAGCACTCTTCATCTCCTCCTTTATCTCCCTCTTCTCCCTTCGGAGTGAGATCAGTGCATTTCTGAGCTCCTCCTTTTGCTTCTCCAGCTCCTCTTTCTGCCTCAGGTACCTCCTGGCGTCCTCCTCCGCACGTGTCTTCCCATAGCGTCCGTACTGATTCACATCTGAGAGGAAGAACAAATCAGCGTTTTCATAAGCAGCTGGCGCTGCGTCGTGATGAGAAGTGATAACGGCTAAATTAATGTTTATGTTTATGTATTTAGCAGACGCTTTTGTCCAAAGCGACTTACAAGTGATAATCGGCATATTGCCCTAGAGGCTACCAACAACAATAACAACAACAACATTGACATCAGTCATGGAGAGGAGGGAAAAAGGAGTGGACAGTAGAGAGGGGGGACGGGTGCAGGGAGGGTGCTAGTTTAGAAGATGCTCTCTGAAGAGCAGGGTCTTCAGGAGTTTCTTGAAAATTGAAAAGGAAGCCGCTGTTCTGGTAGTTCTTGGAAGGTCATTCCACATTTGTGGAACGATGCATGAGAAGAGTCTGGATTGTCCTGAGCGTGGTGTAGGCACTGCTAGCCGACGATCCTGTGATGACCGGAGCGGCCGGGCCGAGACGTAAGCCTTTGCAAGAGGATTCAGGTAGATGGGAGCCGTACCATCTCTGACTTTGTATGCTAGTGTTAGCAATTTGAATTTGATGCATGCTGCTAACGGTAGCTGGAGCTCAATGAATTAACTCATGATCTGGAGGAGAGAAGCAGCTGTGGCAAAATTTTCTCCCATGAAACTTTTATGCAGCGAGTCAAATGAATTATGAAATGAGAGGGGAGACTCACTGGAGGCGTGTCGCTTAATGGCAGCCTGTTGTTCAGTTTTCTCAGAGTCCCTGCTGGAGAAGGAGGCGTGACGTCTCACCTGGCCTGCTTTGCTTTCCACATCCTCATCCTGCAGCACAGAGGAAATATAACGACACTCACCGAGTTTATTGGGTCATTTTTCCTGCAGATTTTGCCTCCGTGCATAATAAGAGATGTTTATATTTCAGCATTGGTCATAAATAAGAGCACTTCAATCCCCATGATGAATGCTCGGGCTCCTTAAAACTTAAAAACCAAGAGTAAGCAAATGTTGCGTTAAGCAAGAAAGAACAAAAGAGATGTGTTGTCTCCTCACCCCCACACTTTCATACACGTCATCATAAGTTCTGGAGTCTGTAGAAGCACTGCTGGAAGACGCAGCAGTAGTAGTGGCCCACCTACCAGAGGAAAGAAGGGAAGAATAGTGGAAAAAAGAACAAGCAGCGCGTCAGGATTAGTTATAATTAGAGAAAGGAAATTCTGGGTAACAAACTGCCAGAAGTGACTCACAGGAAGGAGTGTCTGGCAGCGTGCCGTATGTCAGTGAGCGTGTCCACGTCGATGTAGTCGTAGTGCAGCTCATCAGGGAGAGCCGTGCTGCCAGTCTCTGCAAACAGAACACCCAGCCAGCGCCCAAGATCCTCTGAGGAGCTGGCCTGATGAACACAGACATTGACATGTCTCAGTAACGTGTTTTAAGAAAAACACACAAACAAGCTTGTATTTCTCAGATTCTGTAGCTGCGGGAATTGAAGAGAAAAGTAAAAATGCTAGAATAAATCAGTTGAGACTGAGTCAACAACACATCAGAGTTAGCTAGCAGCTAGTTTTGATGTGTTGCAGCAAAAGGTATTATAGTTTCATCCAGGTCACATGTATGTTATGTGTTTTGTCCCATGGGTGGGACGTTGGAATGCTAAAGGCTTCCCTAGAGTAATGAAAACATTCAACATCATCTGTTTTTTTCTTTCTCCAAGACAAATGATGTCACCTCGACTTGTTTGTTTTGGCTCCAAAACATAAAAAAGTAATAAAAAAACTATAAGAAGCTTACAGCAATGAAAATGTTTAGTCACAAAAGTTGTTATTCTAGTAAAAAAAATAAATAAAAAAAATCAACATTTTTCTTAAAGTGGACATATTATGACTTTTTTCTCTTGTTATACAGTAATAGTTCTATGCTCAATGCTAAACATGTGCACGAAGTTCTTTGCACCTAATCCCTCTCTCATAGAGGGATTTCAGCAGTTTTATTCTTGAGATTTTCAGGACCTTCCAGAATGAGTCGTTGCAGGGTGCTGTCACTTTAAGAAAACAAGCTGGAGCCTCCCCGCTCAGGCTACTGTAAGCTGAGAAGCTCCGATACCCCGGAGGGTTTGAGATTAGGGCTGCAGCTCCCCCACCATGTGAGTGGTGGTTCTCTGCTAATTAGCAGTTTGGGACATCACAAACGGGGAGTTTTTGAAACAGCTCATTTTAGGCACATAATTATTTAAACTAAAACACTAACAGAAAACGGATGGATGCTTTTCATCAAGTATGGAGCGTTTATAGAGGCAACACAAAAATATGCAAAAGGTGAGATTTGCATAATACCCTTTTAATAAAGGTTTTATGTGCACAACTTGGAATGACAATGATCAAACCAGCAATAATTGCAATTAAATGATCATTGTCAATGTTTAAACGTTGTTTTTGACCTGAAAAAAATGACAAGGGTGTAGTCAATGAACAAAAACACAGGTTATTATTTGTTGATGTCAATCACACAGATATTTTTAATTAGGATATTTAAAATATCATTATAAGAGTTTGATTTGGTTAAATGTTAAAACAGCTTAGATCTCAGATAAGACTGAGCTACTGACAGGCAAACATAAAAAAGGAAACACATAAAATATCAAAACACATTTTAATTTGTAAAATAAACATAGATTTTGTACCTCTAAAGCTGCTAGTTCACTGCCGCCTTGCATGATGCAAAAAGAGAAGGGATGTTTCGGTCCGAGACCACCAGGCATCACCTCCGCTCCCTTCAGGGGCACCACGATGACCGGAGGCCACTGGTCCCCCGGGTGCTTCTGCAGGTACAAGTTTCCACCTTGAAGCACACACCAACGTTCTTTCCAAGAGCCGCTCAGACACACACTCAGGTATCCTGTGGAGCGGGACAGGAAACGTGTAAAACACAAGAAGCAGTCTCAGCTAAGATACACTAAATATTCTGAATAATTTCCCAAGAATGAAGGAAATGACCCGCCTCAGGTTTATTATTTAGTTGTCTCGAAAAGCTAAACGTGCATGAGCACACATGCAATCATCAGTTCCTGCTCACCGCAGCGAGGGTTGTCATGTTGGCCCGGAGACGCAGAAACATCTCCCGGTAAAGGAGGCTTCTTTTTGGAGAATGTGATGATCCGATTGATTTTCTTCCCTGCAGCTCGGCTCATAGATTCCGTCAGATCAGAGAAGGCGCCACGCTTCGCCCTGTCTGAAAGAAAATAAAAGATGGATTAAAACCTTTCAGCTGACAACAAACGTGTTAAAATTAAATGTTCAATGTGAAAAAAAAACCATAAACTTCCACTACTGAGATTTCCAGAAAGGAAAAGTCATGTGAGAGACTTTTTGTTGAAGACCCTTTGTTGTCCGGTCAGGGTTTGTTGAGTTATTTTACGCAGCGTCTGAGATGCCTTTTATGTATTTAACTAAATCTTAGACTGTTTGCAAGTTCATTCTGTGCACCAGCAGGCTGTCCATCCTGCTTCCTATAATGTCAGTGGGAGACAATTGCAGGAAGAGGACAGGAAGGATGTCATATCTGCTTGTGCCTCACTTCCTGTCTCTCTCGCTCTCATGTCTCTATATGCTCAGAGTGGCGTAATCAGAAAGCAGCGCTGACACAACAAGAGTCTGACTGACTGTCTGACTCCACATTGTCATTATCCCGGGTGTGTCCTCCTATTTTTGAAAACAAAAAAAGACATAAACACCATGGATATTTCTAATTAGACTAAACGACGGTGGGGGACATGAACTAGACTACTCCTACCATTACTAGATGGTACACAAACACTGATGGAGACGTTTTCCCTTCGGACTTTTCCGTCACCTGAGGAGTTTTGTGAAGCAATTCCCCACCAGGAGAACAGAGGGCAGAGCACTTTTCTGGGAATTTTCTGTCAGCATTGCAGTCAGTCTCTAAATCCATGTTTACTTTCATTTCCTTTCACAAATAAAATGTTTGCTGATTATCTTTGAACTCCTTCAGTTGCAGGTGTAAAAATGTTCATACTGTTGGACGTTCTTTGATCAGCTCCATGTCTGCTGCTAGTTATTTTCGGCCCTCTTTTTGTTTCTTGAAAGGGGGAAGTGGCAGTGCTGTTGACAAACATAAAGGAAGTGACATTCTGACCAAACACAAGCTTTCAGCTCTCGTCACTTTAATGGACAATTAAAAATTTTGGGTATGTCTCCATCAGCCTCTGCGGGCCTGCCACAGAGACCTTGCGGCGACGCATCATGGCGTTGCACACGTCTGTGCCCACGCAGACGGGGAAGTATAAATCAGGCCTCAGTCACTAAATCTAAATAACCACTTCTTTACCTTAACTTTGGAAATTGAAGTGCTTACTTGACTTAACTTTATGAATCTGAGCCCAGCCACCCAATAGAGAAAACTCATTTCTCTTCGCACTCTTCTTCTTTCGGTTGGATTGAGGATTGGGATGAATATCATCTGGTAAACTGAGAGCTTTGTTTTCTGGCTTACCTCTCTCATCACCCCACTCGATCGCACCACTACAAAATCTGTCCTGACCCGCCTGTCGATCTCCTGCCCCCTCTTTTCCTCACTCGTGAACGAGATCCCGCGATACTTAAATTTTCTACTTGAGGTACAACCTCTCCCCCAACCTGGAGTTGGCAATCGACCCTTTTCCAGTCAAGAACCATAGCGATGGATTTAGAGGTGCTGCTTTTTGCGTTAATCCTTATCTATGTAAACAACCTCATGACTGTTTGTGAGTTTACACCTACTGAGTGAATCAGTGATGTCCCTTCCTGGTCCAAGTGCAGTGGACTGAAAGTCTCCTGTAGGTCCACTGTCGGAATCTGATGTCTGTCTATCAGCCTGCAGCATCTGGAGAAACACGACACTTTTACTGAGCAAGTCATGTCGACAAAAATGAGTCAAATATCCCTGAGTGATGCATTTCATAGAGTTTGGTGTTCAAGTCACCATGCAGCCACTTTGTTCAGGGCATGACATATTTAGAAAAATAATGTCACCCACAGAAGAAGCCCAAGGTCTGAACAGGCGTGTCAGGCAGGAGGAGGTGACATCACCACACTAACAAGACTGATTCAGGCACAATGAGACCAAATGTAAACTCAGCAATTCTTTAGACAGAAACATGCACACCCTAACTAAAAGTTCATTCACACAGCTGCTTTAAAACCAACTTTTAGGGGGTTTTCTTTTGTGGGGACCAGCCAAATGTTCCCACAAGGTCTAAAGGTCCCCACGTTGCAGGATAAACCCAAGAAATTGTCTCCAGCAGGTAATGAATACACAGTCTCACACACACACACACACACACACACACACACACACACACACACACACACACACACACACACACACACACACACACACACACACACACACACACACCTTGTCAAGCTCCAGCTTCCTCTGTATAATAGGAGAAGTGGATCCATTCAGTCCTTCTGTGTTGTTGCACTGGCTGCCAATTTCATGGACCACCTGCATCAGGAAAAAGAAAACTGGTCACTTCCTTTTGTTTTACCATCTGTCATGTTTTTCTGACTCCTCCTTGTTTTAGCTAGCACTGAAAGCTGCTAGATGAAAGGGAAATGTACCTTGAGCCATCTTTGGGCCTGCTCTTTGCTCTGAACTGCCAGAACCAGCGCTTCCCCTCCAGGTAACGAGAAACGCAGCTCGTGCCTCTTTTTGCGGCCTTCCTTCGGGACGTAGATGACGTTGCAAAGGTTCAATGGGAGTTCTGTGTTGGGGGAAGCCTCCTTGATGCTCTTATAGCACTGTAAATGACACAAAGACACAGATATATTCAATGTATTAAGCTGAAGAATTGCACACCAGCTTTGTTGTGAGTGGCTCTTTTTATTAGTGCAGCATTACAATTACAATTTCAAAATATCCCCATCAGGCCCAAAAGTGGCAACAGAAATATGAAAAATTCAATAAACTGTTTTTTACCTGCTGATCTATTTACCTGGAGTTTATTGTCTCTGACAACTACGAGCTGCTTTGACCACTGACCGAAGCGTTTTTTTCGCAGTAGGAAGGCACAGATTCGACAGTCTCTCACAGGTTCATCTGGACTTTCCTCAGCTTTCCAGCTCTGACACTGATCCCGTCCTTTGGCCTCCTCATCCTCCTCTTCATATGACTCGTAGGAGCTGCTCAGCGCATCTGAGTCATTGTCTGTATAACACAAACACTAGGGGGTGACTATTTCTCAAAACATTTAGTGATAACTGGTTACTCACACCGAGAGTGTCGGTAACCAGCTGCATGATCAGACTCACTGGAGGTTTTAGACGGCCCATCAATCCTGGTGGTGGGGTAGTTGTTATCAGCGTCTTCATAGTAGGCATCTTCCACAGAGTTCCTGGAATCTACGGATTCGTGAAAGGGAGGAATTAAAGATGGTCTCGTAACCACAGGGTTGCAGGTTCGACCCCCATCTGTTGCAGTTGTGTCCTTGGGCAAAACACTGCCTGCTGGTGGTGGTCAGAGGGACCGATGGCGCCTATTACTCGGCAGCCTTGCCTCTGTCGGTGTGCCCCAGGATCAGCTGTGGCTACATTGTAGCTCATCACCACCAACCTGTGGATGTGTGTGCTGGGGTGGATAACTGTGTTGTAAAGCACTTTGGGGGGTTTTTAGAACCCTGGAAGGTGCTTTATGAAACACCATTTAACAATTTACCATCGGCTAACAAGAAGTGACATATTGTGAGATCAACCTTAAGATTATTTATTGACTAAAACAACATCAGCATCATTTTTTCTCAACTGAAGATAATTTTAGCATAAAACTGACAAGAAAGTCAGGTAAAATGTATTAATTTAAGGAATAATCTGTTTTTAATGTGTCCAGTAAGTCACATTTATGACAGGATGATTGTTCATACTCGTGGTGAAGTACTGCGGGGAGGATCCAGGATCTAGAGGAACAGCCTCTTCATAATAATCATCGGGCAGGGCGGTTGTTGGTAGAGGTGGAGGCGTGTCGGTTGGTGTCTGAAAGCCAAAAGGACAGTTAAGCCAAGCTAAAAACACATCTAATGGTGTCTGTATCATATGAGTGACTTACAGATTTATTGGGATGTGTCTTCTCCTCTTTGATCTCTTTCTGTTCCACCGGAGATGCACTGAGCATGTGCAAATCACAGTCTGGTGACACAGGAGTTTTATTTTCACTCCTATTAAACACTAAAAAAATGATCTGTAGATGTTTTCTATATTTACTAACCAAAATCCTCAAACAGTGACTCTACAAAGCTTGTGCCGTTTCCATAGAGACAACCGTTCATGTAGACGTCCGACCCATTGACTGCAAAAAAGTAAAAATAAAAAGGAGTTAGGGACAAACTTTGGGTAATAGTTTTGGGTTGAAGATGAAAGGTGTAAATAATTTATCTATTTTAGAAAAATAAAACTGCAAGAAGACTGGAGTAAAACTACAAAGAAGTCCTTTACCAGATTTAACTCCACCCCCCAGCCCCCACAGCTGCAATCGGCACCACCAACATCACCAACCCCAACCACCTCTACTGAATCTGTAAACCCCCCCCCCCCCCCACCACCACCACCACCACCACCACCATCCTCCTCAGCACCACACTTTCTCTCACTCCCCCCTCTCAGATACATCTGACCAGGTGAGGAGAGAACTGAGGTGGCTTAAGAGCAGGAAAGCTGCAGGTCCTGACTGAATCAGCCCCAGACTGTTCAAAGACTGCGCTGACCAGCTTTGTGAAGTGGTCAAGCACATGTTCAACCTTAGCTTCAGGTTGGAGCAGGTCCCAATCCTGTGGGAGACCTCCTGTGTGGTTCCAGTTCCCAAAATCACATCCTAGGGAACCAGACCACTACAGACCAGTCGTCTTGACCTCCCATCTGATAAAGCCTATGGAGAGACTCCTCCTCACCCATCTACGTTTATTGGTGAGCCTGTAAATAGACCCACTGCAATTTGCATTTAAACCAAACATGGGGGTGGAGGGTGCACTCATCTACCTGCAGCTCTGACTCAAGATGCAAAAGAGCACTGTCAGAATCATGTTCTTTGACTTTTCAAGTGCCTTCAACACTAACCAGCCGTGTCTACTGCAGCAGAAGATGAGAGGTGGACAAACATCTGAATTGATGGACCATCAACTACGTCAGCAACAAGCCACAGTATGTGAGAATGCACAACTGTACATCTGAGGTGATTGTGTGCAGTACTGGAGCTCCACAGGGTATGGTGCTCTCACCCTTTCTATTCACCATCGACACCTCGGACTTCACCTACAACACAAGCAGCTGTCACCTGCAGAAGTTCTCTGATGACTCAGCCATTGTCGGCTGCTTGTTTGAGGGGAATGATCAGTACAGGTCAGTCATAGTGGAATTTGTGGACTGGTGTGAGCGTAACACCTTCGCTTAAACACCAGTAAGACAAAGAAAATAGTGATTGACTTCCAGAGAAAAACTCCTCCTCACTCACCAGGGAGCAGGCATTGAGGTGGTGGATGCCTTTAAGTACCTGGGTGTTCACCTCAGCAGTAAACTGAACTGGTCCAACAACAAAGATGCTCTGTATAAGAAGGGCCAAAGTTTCCTCCACCTCCTGAGGAGGCTCTGTTATCCACTCTGCTGTGGTCTCTTGGGGTGCAGGCAGCTCTGTCTGAGACAGAAAGAGACTGAACAAGCTAGTTAACAAAGCTAGCTCAGTTGTGGGCTGCCCACTGGATTCAGTTGAGAAGATGTGTGAAAGAAGGATGCTGGGGAAGATGACCTCCATCTTAAAAAAAACCCTCCCACCCACGTGCTCCACTGTGGAGACCATGGACAGCTCCTTCAACGGCAGACTGACATGCCAGATGTAAAACAGAACGCTGCCATAGGTCATTCATCCCCTCTGCTGTAAGAGTGTATAACTCCTCAGTTTAACTGGTACTGGCATTATCCTGGTTCACAATAACATCAGAAGCCTGAGTGTGATTCAAACCCTGGTGGTACCATATAGTTTAACAGACTGTTATAAGTTAATTTACGTGTTTAAAAATGCCAAATGACAGTTTGTGATACATACTGTTGCTACTAATACAAACGGTTGTTGATCATAAATAAATGTTGACATGTTACTAAAATATTTAGTATAAACAGTGTAAAGGCTCCCATAGAAAGTTGATGATATTGATAAAGTAAGATATAATATGCTAAAACTATGTTTACAAAGACTCATTGTGTTAACAAGGTAATAATTTGGTCTGAAATGTTTATTAGATCAACTATAGATTAATATATAGGTAACAGAGGTGGTTCACAATTTGGCAAGAATTTTATCTCTATCTCACTCTTAATTAATGCTAAATAAATTGTTATTAATGGTCTTGTAAAGCATTACAGACAAATTAATATTAGGAATGTAAGAAAATATCGATATAGCAATATATCGCGATATATTATCCTGCAATATTATATCGATGTTCAAAAGCTGTGTATCGATTTTTTGGGAAGAATTTACGTGCAAACATTTGTGTATTTTCTTTTCTTTTGGTGCAAATCAAATGCAGTCCGCTAGTCAGCAGTAGTGTGCAATGGAGTTTGTTTCCACCACTGAAATGTAAATCTCTCTATTATGGTTCAGATACCTCATGTTAATCATGTTAAGTATCAGTTTGGACCATTTATTGAATTTTCCTACAATAATTTTAGTCTAAAAAATCGCTAATATTGACTGACTGAATGTATCACAATATATTGTGATATATCGTATCGTCTCCCCTGTATCATGATAAGTATCGTATCGCCAGAATTTCACCAATACACATCCCTAATTAATATCATAGTCTTTTATAAGGGGAGTCTTGTTTAAAGTGTTACCAAAGGGGATTATGGCAGCCATAAAAGTTAGCAAAAGTATTAAACCCAGACAGTGAATCTGTTCGTGGCAGTCTGAGCCCATCATCACACGTTTAGCTGGTCCCCTTTCTGTGACCTTGTCTCATTATCCTCTTTTAACATTGCATTTCATTATCCTCTTACACGAATCCTTTTATCCTCCCTCTCTTCCTGCGCTCTGTCAGATAAACAGGCTCTGACTTTCGAGACCTCGGGGATATTTGATGTTGCAAAATACTTCGCTTTGTTGAATGCTCACAGCAGTGACTGTGCTGTGGTGTTGAGCGGTTCCAGTCTGGTTTGAGCAGACAAATAAATCCAGTCATTTTCTCCAAGGAATTAAGAAACTCAGCACACGGAATCAACTATAATTAGTCTAAACTGCTGAATATGTCGACTTAAATTAACATGAAAAAATGCAGCAAAGAAACTGCAACCACACTTCATAAATTTCCCCTTACAGAGAGGTGAACGATCTAACTTTAACAGTTTGGTTGCATTCATCTTAGACGTCGCCCTTTTATTTTATTTGTTAAAATGCTGAATATGTGCAGAGCCCAACTCTCTTTCTCTTTACTGACACTTTAGTCAAATAGAGTCATATTAATGCTATAATGAACACATTAATCCGTCCAAGATTATAACAGCAGTCTAACATTTATCATTTTGGACTTCTATCATAAAGTGACCATTTTTAATCTTGTATGAAATTATAGCAACATAAATAAAGCTACCACATGTCTGTTTGTAGAAAAAGAGTGGCTTATATTTTGGAAATTAACTGCAAGGTATGTGATATATTAAATGATCATTAAATAATTTTAGACTTAAAGGTGAACATCTATTCCTCTGGACTGGAGCAGAACATTCTATTAGATCCATTTGTGTATTAATAGTGCTTTAATTTAATGTTTTGTCTGTAGCATGTTTATAACTTATCAGATGTCCCAGCTGCTAAAACGAGATGCTTTAAACTCTTTGTTTTTTATTTATTTCTATTTATTTGATTTATTTTCCATTACAACAGATGTGTAAAAAAAAGCAAAGGTCCTCAGGTTTTTTACTAGAAAGCTGTGACTTCAGTACAGCCAAATATTATTCCAGCAATAAAAGATAATTGAAAATAAATACATTTTTATCAATTAAAATGTCAAACAGGAATGACCTACAATAAACAGAGGAGGAGGCCTCAAGTTTCACCTTTCTAGCGCCTACAATGCAGATCTAAACCTAATCCTAAAACAGCTTCAGTCCAGGTCACACCCTCCTGCATCTAATCCAAATAACCATAACATAATAGGTGTTAACGACATCAATGACTCCTCAGAGGTAGGGAGGAGGGGTATTCTTAGGTAGTTTCAGCTCGTTAAGAAACAACAGACAGCTATAGTTTATAAGTGTGATGCTCCCATGTTCCAGTCAGAATTGACAAAGCTCCTCAGATGAGAAGTGAAAGTCTTCGAGAAACCAAAGAAGTCCAGTTGTCTTCATTTGAACCATTTGGATAACCATGACCTGGACAACTGAGAACATTCACCAGCATTAGGGCTGGACTAAATAGAAAAAAAGCATATAGTTTAAAAAATTATATTGATCGATATCAATAATTATTGATAAATATAAAAAAATGTAGAAAATATTATTTAAGTGCAGCCATGGCTATTTTGTGTCACTGCCTTTTGATAAAACGAGTTGGTTGTTACCAGACTTGATTTTTAATTGATTTTTCCGTTAACCGTTGTGTCTTTTTTTTGTCAAACTTGTGCAAACCAAAATATCGCTGTGCTGGTGAACTACTCTAACCTTTTTACAGGACACTTTCCTTCACCTCTCCTTGCAGCAACATCTTGCTGTCTGTTTTAGTTTGAGAGGGGAGGCCTGGATCTGGTACTTTTGATTGGCTGGGAGCAAGTAATGACTCTAGTACTAAAATACCCGATCGACTATAATAGAAAAAGAAAGAAAAGTTTGTATTGACCCATTTTTTTTATTATCACGTCATACATCCATCGATCGATATAAATATATCTTTATTGAATTATTGTCCAGCCCTAACCAGAGCATATCAATTAAAATGCTTTGGGTAGACTTAGACGACGTTAAAACAAAATTCCAATTTCCTCAACTATTCAAAGCATTTATACAAATTTGTATTTGCAGGTATGCATCAACAAAAACAACCCACTCCATTCTTTTAGTAAATCATGACATGAACAGTAAGTAATTTAAGTTGTGCACGGCCGCTCTGGCCAATGCTAGCTGGAGTACCTGACTGCTGGAGAGAGTCCAGGATGTTACGTACAGAAGCCATCTTGTCAGCAGTATCAGGACTGACCGTTTCATGGTCCAACATCTTCAGCAGAGAGGTGAGCTCGCTCAAAAGGCGCTCCATCACCACTGGGAACAGGAACAAAAGTCATTTTGATTCAGCATTTTTCCCAAAAACTGTTATGGAAAGAAGTGAACTTTAGATTCTAGATGACCAATCCTGCAGAGGGGCAACATAGTTTAAATGTTTATGCTGTTACACAAAGTGTATTATATTTGACACACACAGGGTCTCACGGGAGCTTAGCGCCTGCTGCAACAGCTGACAGGCATTAGATATAAAACAGCCTCACATTTTACAAACTGACATGGAATAGATACGACTCTCGTTGAAAAGGTTTTCACATCTAACTCCAGCATCCTGTGTGAGTCTTTGTGTGTGTGTGTGTGTGTGTTTGCATCTGTTTGTGTATTTTGTTGCCCTTGACATTGTTCCAGATGCCCCGACAAACACTCACACATCCTGTCTGTTCAGAGTCAACAAAGAGAGGAGGAGGGAAGAGAGTTGCAGAGAAAAGAAGGTAGGTGGAGAGGTCAGGATGCATCCTTGCCTGAAGGAAAAAAGAGCCAGAGGAAGAAGTAGATTTATGGTTTCTATCTACAAATAATTGTGTTTGGGATTTAAGGATCGCTTACTGGGTTGCTTTTATTTAGGGAGTGTAAATCGCAGATCTTTGGTTTGAATGTTTAAAAAAAACAATTTTTTTACATTTAAAAATGTCAAAAGGAAAAACAGGACTTACACGGGGGTTTCCTGCCACTTTGTGGTTTAGTGAAAAATTATGATAATGATGATTCTGATGACATGTTCTAAACCTTTTGTTTTCAGCACGTCTAACACGTGCTTAGTGGAATCCCTTTTGCTGAGTAAGACAGCTTCAATTCATGTTTTTATGAATCTGTCTGTAAAGAGACGCCCACGTCTCTTCTGATGTGGGCGTCTGGTCCACAAGGATCATTACAAAACCTCAGGTTTGTACCTCTTAACAACCTTTGTGGATTTTGAGGTGCTTTAGGATCAGTATTTTCTGCAAAAGTAGCATTTTTATTCGAAGCGTAATGGGTATTGTACTGAAATCATCCTTCCCCATAGATGAACTCAGATTATGATCAATCAACTTAAGAGAACCTTTTTTCCTCTACTCTGCCAACAAGGTCATGTTTGGGTATCACTGCACAGCAGAACTTTTTCATTGTTCCCATTGTGTCATTTTCTTTTTTAATTAAAACTGAGTTTTGCAGCAGCTCGGCTAAATAATTGTCATAATTGTCCCTTTTCTTATTCAAAGCCCTGATTCTGTTACTCGGAATATGTCCCGTTTACGTATTTGAGTCTTCATACTGGTCCAGGTTCTACTAGCTGGTTCTTCCTCTCAGAAGGGAGTTTTCTTCTCCACTGTCACTATCTGCTTGATTTGTATGGGGACTGCTGTTAAAGAGCAAATTGCAGGTTAAAGCCTCCTTAGAACAAATGTTTAGAGAAACATTGTAGGAACTCGTTCTAAATGAAAATGCACACATGCATGAACTATTTAGGATTTTGGAGTCATTTTTGTCAGACTTTTTTTTTTCTGCTGCCAAACCAGACAGGCAGGCAGAGGGAGTCCTCTTTGCTTGATCATAAGAAAAATATGGATTCTAATGCTGGTTCTGACACAGAGGAAACTTTACATGTTTATAATTATACTCATGGTGGACAAAACCAGGTGTCGGACTCGTGGAGACCGGGCTTTTTCATTTCTAGCGCCGTCACTCTGGAACCAGCTCCGACAGTCAGTAGGGCAGTCGACTTCTTTGGCGGTCTTTGAGTCGCCTGAAACCCTGCGTTTTTTGTTTAGCATTTCCTGAACATGCTTGAAGTTGGCTTACTTTTCTGTAGTTTTGATTCTTTGCTTTGAATTCTGTTGTTTCAAGTTCAATGTTTTAATCTCTTTTATCATGATTGTATTTTGTTCTTCAGTGCCTTGGCCTCCCATAATGGGCGAGGAAGGCGCTACATAAAGTTTCTGTGAGTGCTCGCTAGCCTAAACTCATGTGCTAACATCACAATATTGCACAGATTGCTGTCATCTACCAGACAATAAAAAGTAATATTGGTCAGTTAATATAATATTGTTTATTGACAATAATAAACTCTAATGAGTGTTTGTCAGCAGTTTCATACTCGTTAATATCCGTTCACATAATGCATCTCATCCTATTCAGGCCAGGCGGCTCAGACCTGGGTCTGACCCAGAAACCAACTTCCCTGGCCCGCTAGGAAATTTTAAAAGCTCCCCATCCTCTTCTGGGGCTCAGTACGGACCTCCCTAACCTGGTTCCGACACTGATCTGGGCTCAAGGAACCAGCGGGTATTTTTCAAAACTCCACCACGAGGTTCTGGAGGATAGGAGGCATTTTGAACTCCCATCACATCTCTGGGATTGTAATCCTCCGGCCTGAAGTGCGCACCAGAAGTGACCGTATTTTAAGCTGCTCAAAACGCATCAGGAATGGAAGATCTTATGTACATTCTTGCTGTGTTTGTCTTCAAATTTCATTTGTGGTTCTTTTTTAAACACAGATAAGGTTTTTCTTTACCTCTCTGATGTTTCGTTTGCGGCTGCAAACATCTTCAGAGCTGACGCTGATGGTGGCGTCACATCCTCTGCTGCCCGCGGATACACGGAGTAGGAAGTGACGCCACCATCAGCGTCAGCTCTGAAGATGTTTGCAGCTGCAAACGAAACGTCAGAGAGGTAAAAAAAAACCTTATCTGTGTTTGAAAAAGAACCAAAAATAGAGGAATGGAAGATGGTGCCGTTCGTTCTCTTAAGCCTGGTTCATGCTTCTCTGTCAGCTCCGCAAGGGACAGACACGCGCGGATCGACGGAAGCGTTTTGCTCTCATACTTCTCCGTCTCCTGGGGAGTGTTGCAAAGCAAATCCCTGGCAGGACAACAGAGGGCGTAGCGCTGTGGTATCCTGACATGTATCGGTCCAAGATAGTGTGTTTATATTGTGTTTTTGTATATAAGAGACTTTTAACACGGACAAATTTGTCTCTCATTCTCCTCCATCTCTTCATGCTCTCGCCACCTCAAAACCCACGTTTCCTGTCCTTTCCGTCCACAAATAAAACGCTTGCTGCGCATCTTTTCACTCCTCCAGTCACGGGAGAATTAAACGTTCATGTTTTTGGAGTATTTTCGCGAGGTATTCTTCAAGCTTCTCCGTGTCGGCCGCTAGTTATCCTCGGCTCTCTTTATGTTTTTGAGGGCGCAATGGCGGCGCTGTAGACAACAGCGGTGTCCTGACCAATCACAAGCTTGTGTTGTCCGTCTTGACTGACGGATGTTTAGAACAGAGAGCTCGACTCCGTCCGTCCTTGCGGAGCTCTCCGGTAGACATGCAAGGACGTTGCGTGTCTCCGCACTGACGCAGATGGAGAAGCATGAATCAGGCTTTATTTGGAAACCCGGCGTGGACTCGATGTCCGGACCCGTTGGAATTTGTACAGCCTCCACACATTAGTTTACCATTTTTAAGAAAAATTACCACAAACCTAAAATAGTGAACACACACACTGACTGAGCTTTTTTTTTTTTTTGCCAGTTAAGCAACTGGAAATCTGCATGTGACCTTTTTTGAAAGTTTCCGGATGTTTTACGCTGCTTTCGTGTTTGACTTCCTGTCTGGCCCAATCTGGACTGCTGAGCTTGAGTCGTACTGAGCTAGCACGTAAAAAATAGACTCAAAGCACAAGCATGTTGCTACACACCTCTACACTTCATCAGCTATAATGGCATCTAACAGCTGGCTACAACGTTTCACAGAAGTTACGCATCATTTAGGCATCCAGTGGAAAAGCCGGTCCGATAGAAAATGTTTAGCTAATTGGAATTATGAACCAAACTCAGTTTAGTGGGTTCAGTTGGAATGTTTACATTGTAAAGGGCTATGAGATGACGTGTTATCAACTGGTACTATATAAAAAAGAAATATAATTGAATTTAGAAACTAACAATTTGCAACTTTCTGTTGGGTAAATAGTAGCCATGGAGGGAATTACTACAGCATCCAAGATCAAACCTGTCTTGTTTAATCTCCTACAAATCAGGGACATTGAGAGTGAAAGAAAAGTCCTAACTCTCCACTAACCTCCCTCACGTTCTCAACTCCAACAATACCCTATTGTCTCCTCAAGAGCCAAAATTAGATCACCACGGCGCTCCGCAGGACCAGAGCAAACAATTGCATTGTCAAAGTCAGAAAAGCCCAGAAAACTCAAAACAGGAACTAACACACAGCACACACACAGTGGAAGAGGGGTGTGGTGCTGCACAGCTGTGTAGCCTCGATTCGCGGGCATTCAAGGTTACAGGATACATCTTCAGCAGCTGTGTGTGTGTGCACAGCTGTTGTTTCCTGTCCGAGCTGTCGACAGAGAAGTTTCTCTATTCCTTCCTGATCCTGAATCTCTCCATCACGCCACTCTGCATCTCCCTTCTGTTTTCCTTTCTCCTTTTGTCTCTTTATTAGTCTTCTGTTAGTCAGGTCTGGAGAAAGGACAGAGACTAAGGGTATATTTTAAACCTGGCAGCTCACATTAAACACTATATAACGCCACTAGCGAGGCTGATGGAGGAGCCTTCTGTCTATTTTTTGTTTTTCTGACTCCATGCAGCCATTTCTCCTGAGGGACTTCACATTTCAGAGGCTGAGTATCAGCTGTTCTGGAGGCTTGTGGCTGTTCTCACCCACAGAGGGATCTTTGTTACCCCCATTCCACCGACACACACACACACACACACACACACACACACACACACACACACACACACACACACACACACACACACACACACACACACACCATACTTTCCTCTTCACAGCCCTGTTTTCACTGGTCATATAAGAGGAGCACACACTTCATCTGCCTTTTCCTCACTAACCAAAAAAACCTGGAGTTGTGACGAGAATGTGTTACCAGAAGGACTTCCTGACCCTGGCCAGTCATGAGACCTGGACCATGCGGCTATCATTTCAACAGATTTATTGTGTTTGGTCACGGTTCAGAAACAAACAGCTACTGCTGCAGATGTTTATTCCTTCACGGTCGTCCTGCTAGTATCACAATTTAATCCCAATCCTTTACATGTCTGACCCAACAATCATCTAAATCCCTCCCTGACTTTCCTCTCTGGTCTAAACTACTCCTCCTTCTTAGAACATGTTAGCCCTTCAAGAAAAAAAAATAACATGATTGAATGCAGTGAAATGAAAGGCTTGTTGTTTATGAATTCCTCTTCCTGCTTCCCCCACAGTCCTAAAGACCTCAAAAGGTCCCTCAAGATCCTATACTCTCTCTTTCCCTCAGAGATCCCTCCCTTTTAACTCTTTTCCCTTATCCAACCCTCTTCTCCAGACACCCATCCTCTTCAGCGAGAGGTCAGAGTTCGAGGCTCGGCGGCCCCGGCAGCTCCCTCAACAAACAAAAGTCTGTTTCAGAGCTCCAGCACCCCGTACTTCATAATTTCATGACAGCAGTACACGGTGTGACAGCTTGCCTGGGGTTAGCATGCAGTCATACACTCTAAAAAGTCCACAACCAGGCTGTTAAAAGAGCCAGCTGTGGGGGGGATTCTCAGTTTTTACACATTCTTTTGGTATCTTCTCCCTTTCTGATGAGCCACTGCTGCAGCTCCCCACTCCCCACGGAGATGGGTCAAATGTAGAGATGAATTTCACCAGTGTGTGGTGATGACTTTGGGACTTTAAGTTTAACTTTTAACTTAATGTAAAATGTAATAATTATATATTTTTTACATTTGGAAGAAGTAAAAAATGTGTTAAAAATTTAAAAGAATACAGCTATTAAGTATAGTGCAAAGGAAATAGCTTTATCCAGACTTCAGATGTTTACTCAGACATTGGAGGTCCTAGGGGCGGAGCCAAAGGGACATTGGTCCCTGCTGATATCTGATTGCCACCCTGAAGTGCCCCATTTCATGTGTTTTGCACTATGATCAGATCATAGGTGGGTGCAATTCCAAGTCTAAACACTAGTTGAGCTAATGAGCCAAATAGAAAATCCCAGCCCCTTTTTCAATACTGTGGCCCCATGATGGTCCCAAACTCAGAAAAATCCTAGATCCGCCACTGCTCAGATAAACAAAAATGGACTAACACATGCTGTTGTTGATCAAACTTTTCCAAAATAATCGATCCATCCATATTCTTCCGTTTATCTGGAGTCGGATTGCGAGGGCAGCAGCCTAAGTTGAGGCCCAGACTTCCCTCTCCTCAGCCACTTGGGCCAGCTCTTCAGGGGGAATCCCAAGGCGTTCCCTGGCCAGGCGAGAGACAGTTCCTCCAACTTGTCCTGGGTCTCCTTTTAGGTGTCCTGGTTGGGCGTGCCCAGAAACCATCACCAGGGAGGTGTCCAGGAGGCAACCTAATCAGATGCCCGAGCCACCTCAACTGGCTCCTTCCAAAATAATGTAGCTTTAAAATGTAAAGTGCGAGTAAAGTGATGATAACCTGTATAGATGAGTGTCTAAATACTGCTGTAGACACGTGTAGTCATTATTATTGTAGTTTAGTGCAACTCACTTAAGATTTAATATTTCAGTCCCAAATCTCCATCTTCAGGTTAAAACTCTGCTCCACACGGATTTAAAACCAACCACAGCAGAGGCGCAGAGTGATGCAGTCTGTACTGGACTACATGGCTGCACTGCACTGGACTCCAGCTGAGTCTCGGCCACACCTCCAGCTGGCTTGGCGACTCACCTGGCGATATGAAATGTTACGACTCTGAGCCGCTCGCCTCCTTAAAAAAAGCCCTCCTCCCTTTCTTCTAGTAATGAAAGTGAGGTGAAAATCTTCCAAGCGGTGAGAGAGAGAGAGAGAGTGTGTGTGTGTGTGTGTGTGTGTGTGTGTGTGTGTGTGTGTGTGTGTGTGTGTGTGTGTGTGTGTGTGTGTGTGTGTGTGTGCGTGTGTGTGTGTGTGCACTGAGAAACTCCGAGAGCATGCAGGGGTGGGAGTGGGGTTGAGAGAGGTGCTGTAAATCACTGCCTCTGCTGCAGACAACACCTCCTCTAGGTGCATTTTTCAAACAGGAAGTGAGTAAGACTCCTCCCAGGGTGTGCCTTACCCTTTAAGATGAAACCTATATAATTGTTTATTTTTTTCTGATTTATTATCCATTCATATAGAATTGTGTTAATAGTTTCCTACTTGGTGGAGACATACTTTAATCTTGAGTTTTTATACATAAAAATGATAAACACGTTTGCAGTGACCAAACTGCAGCAGTTTATTTCTTTCTATTATTTAAAACAGATGGTCATTTCTGAGCATGACTGAACAGAAAATACAAAAAATAATACTTTAGTTTACACTATTTAAATGTCCGATTGTAACATTGGGGTTTATGTCCGCAGTGATTATTAACTGACAAGTTGCTTGAAATGGAGCAGAGTTATGATCTTTAATAATCCCCTCACAGCTGAGCTGGCGCCCTTCATCTTCTTCTGTTTGTTTTCTGCAGCTCGGAATTCTTTAAAACTCTAAAACTTTAACAGGATGTGATTCCACTAAATGATCGAGATGGGTTCATCAGAACAATTTGGTGGACTCGCGTGCAGCTTCCAGCCAGGAGCGTTTTATAAACAGAGCGGATATTCAGCTCATCCTCCGGCAGCGCAGCTTCCAACACGGCACTCCTCTGTTGGCTCATCACTCTACCTGAAGGATTTCTCCTCCATCCATCTACGCACGCACGCACGCACGCACGCACGCACACAGAACCAACTGGCGCGTGGCTGCATGACATCACTTTCTAATAGCGGAGTCGCGCGCGTGGAGCCCTCAGCTCCACGAATTTGAATTAGCCCCATTGTTTGGAAAACACTGATCTTAATATTCACAACAGTGGACATTTAACTACATATTTGTTTAGCGTGTAATCCTATTTTAGCTCAGACTAGATGATTAAACTCGTTGAAGTTATTATTTTACCTTTACTTACCACTCTGGCGTTTTGTGTCCATGCCGCCTGGTAACTGAGTATTTCCAGACTTCTTTCCAGTTATACTCCCTTTGTCATGTTGTTTTGAATAATTACAAACATGTGAGACGAGCTCCCCGCAGGAACAGCGGCGCTCTGTGCGGCCGACTCACATTGTCCGCTCCAGTTTACAGTTAGGACTCGGCGGCTGCTCGGTTTTCATCCAGGGCTCCGCTGGGTCCTGGTGCCCGCTATGTTCTGTTATCCTACTACAACAATCCTATTTAAAGAGCTGTAATCCCAACCGGATTATTAGTATTAATTAGCCTTATGTAACAACCGAAGAGTTGGAATAAACCTTTATTTACTCTTTACTTGAATGTGGTCTGAAATGTTTCCACTGTTTCGTTTTGGAATAAAAAATTTAAATTAATTTAAAAATTTCGGCTCGAGGCTGTAGCCACAAGTCATCACTTGTAAAATAAAAATTAACGTATTTCTCATTGTACAGTTGTTTAAAATTTCTGATTGATTTAATATAGACATTTTTAATTCATGAGTACACTGTGAGAAATAAAATGTTGAACTAATTTAACAAAGTCCATCCTTCCACCCATTCTCTTCCGCTTATTTGGAAGCCGATAGGCTCAGACTTCCCTTTCCTCAGCCACTTGGGCCAGCTCTTCTGGGGGAATCCCAAGGCGTCGCCTGGCCAGGCAAGAGACATGGTCCCACCAACGTGTCCTGGGTCTCCCTTTAGGCCTCCTCCTGGTTGGACGTGCCCAGAAAACTTCACCAGGCAGGCATCCAGGAGGCATCCTAAACAGATGCCCGAGCCATCTCAACTGGCTCCCCTCAACGTGGAGAAGCAGCTGATCTACTCTGAGCCCCTCCTAAACGACCAAGCTTCTCACCCTATCTCTAAGTGAGAGCCCAGCCACCATGCAGAGAAAACTTATTTCGGCCGCTTGTATCCGTGATCTAGTTCTTTTGGTCACTACCCAAAGCTCGTGACCATAGGCGAGGGTAGGAACGTAGATCGACCGGTAAATCAAGCGCTTCACCTTCTGGCTCAGCTCTCTCTTTATCAAGACAGATCGGCACAATGCCCGCATCATCCACAGACAGACAGACGCAGCACCAGTCCGCCTGTCGATCTCGTGCTCCAGCTTTCCCTCACTTGTGAACAGACCATAACTTAACAAAGGTATGTATTTTTTAAACAATTTATGTCCACTGGTTCCATTAAACCTAGTGGCTTAAGTAAATAATATATCTTGTTATACGTTGTTATAATAAAAGTAAATTTATATTACTCTTTGTATTTAAGCAACTTGTAGAACCAGTTGATGTAATCTGGTTTAGTATATTCAACATTTAATTTCTTGGAATCCAGTCGGATCTCATTCAGAAATGTTCTAACTGGGGACGTTCCAATCACGTTTTTTTTGCTCCCAATCCGAGTCCGAGTAAATAGATTTTAAGAATCTGCGACAGCAACAGGGTCGCTTCTTTCTTCAAAACAACTGCATCTGTGAAGTTAGGAAGACAAAGCAGATCATGCCGTGACTCAAGGAGACTGCAAAACCCGACATTAACAACCACAGACACTGGATCAGCATACTGAAAATCAAGTGGGGTTTTTGTTTTTGCTTCCAGTATTTCTTCCTGTAAATTGTTATTTTAGAATTTTACTGCTCCTGTATTTACATCCTAGCGGTTGATCCTTTTTTTTTCTGGGTGAATCATCTAAACCATTGGTCTCATAACTGTCAATCTTTCTGGTAAAGCTTTCACACAAGGCCATTATCGTGCATGCTCGTTCCTGGTTTAGTTTTTACTTCCTGTGCATTCTGTTTGTGTAGAGCGATAGCCTTCATTCCTTATCACTTAACCTGACCAGCTAGCCCCTGGGAGCTCTTCAATTCAAATAAGCCCACCCCCTGATAATTCTAACTGAGCCAATCAGCGCTGAGCAGCATACATCTCACACACACACTGCAACGCTGAGTTTCTCATAAACAACAAAGACTGAAGCGAAGTTTGCTGCGGCTCTTTCCTCTGTTCTAAATGACTTGAACATATCTTTAAAACCACAACAAGTACAAGCGCTAAAAGCCTTTCTTCTAAAACATTTTTTTAGGTTTTTCTATTTCTGCTCTATGGTCAATGATTTCACATCGTGACGATTTTGATCAAATAATTAGATGAGCAGTTGTTTTCAGTTTGGAGAAACGGATGCCAGTTCTATTTGGATTAAAGGGTTAGGGTTACGTGGTTAGGGTTACGTTTGAGAAAGTTGGAGGTTCAACACCCGGCTGTTGCCTTTTCCATTAGATCCGTTCCCATGATCAGAACTTCCAGGTTATTTTTTACCAGACCTTTGTGTCATATGTTTCCATTTCACCAAAGACCAACCAAGTACCTGAACTGGGGTATTCGACAGAAGCCCAGCAGAGTCGCTGGGCGGGACTTGAGGTTAAACTCATGCTGATTGGTTGTAACTCAGTGGAAAAGGACATTGGCAGACGTTGCCAAATGACTAGCATTTGTACAATTGGAAGAGTTGATGGTGAAGCAGAATGTAAGCAAAGGAAAATAAGCAGTATTGATGCTCCTTTAAAATCGCTGTTTCTAAACTCCCAAAGATGAAAAACGGAACGGGAATCACCCCATAACGCCAAATTTTACACCGTTTTGTGTTTCTTACATCACCGTAACAAAAGCAACACTTCGCCTGGTCACTGAACGCTGCTTTTTACACCACACAGCTGCTCTCCCAAACTTCGACAAAATAAAACTTTGAATGTTAGTAATGTCCATGGAAGCTTTTGGGTGCTGATCAGTGACGTCACACTCTGCTGAAATGGTCGTGGTATACTGACATCTTTAAGTCCTGAAAGGGCCAATTTTGTATGGAGACACAGTGGCTGAATTCAATTCAATTCAATTCAATTCAATTCAAAGATACTTTATTAATCCCAAAGGGAAAATAGAGTTTCAGTAAACACAATTCTGAGATCAGACATACATTCATAGGCATAGACACATGACAAGAATTGGTGACTGTGGTCATTCGCAACCCGAGTTGCGCTACCTTAATAGAGATCAGAGGGTTTATATATGAGGATTGAGTCAGGTGGAGGGAAAAAAGGCACTTCAGAGTTACCCTCCACAGGGAGGGCAGCTTTGCTATGCAAAAAAACCCTTCAGACAGAAATGAAACAGACTTCAGACATCACACAACATAAGTGTCCACTAGGTGGGGAGGTAGGGTTGGGGACTCTCCACACATCAGTGCATGCAGCCGTGACAAGGAGCGCTCATCACCTCCGTTTGGACAGGGGAGGGAGGTAGTTGGGTTTAGAAAGCACAGTGACTCCTGGAAACGATTCAACGGCCTTCACCGGTCGCAGTCCCGCCCAGGCTGGGATAGGGAGACAGAGTTGCCATGGCGACTGCAGCATTCCACATTTCTTCTGAGGGGGAGTACCGGTAATCACTTCAGCCTCACAGGCTCAAGGGCACCAGATTCAGATAAGAACTTGTTTGGGGGCCAGACAGAGATAATTTCCTCTCCGTCTTAAAGTTCCGTTGCTCCTCAACCCCTCTAAATCCAATAATGGTGTGAATTAGTCTATCCCAATCTGTGCTGATCCGTCAACTTTCTCCTTCATCAAATCCACCTTTTGTGCCAGAGTCTGAATCTCAGCCAAAGTTCCAAGCTTACGACTCATCTCGACAATTATATGAGTTTGTGCGCTCACAGCGCGGTGTCATCCATCCCTGCGCTCGGGGATTGAGCCAATATTCCTCGACAGCTCATTCATTTTCCGGTAAGCCAGGTAACCACTCAGGCCAAAAAGCAAGAAACCTGACACCAACACCACGAATATCCAAACATCTTCAGAATCCTCTACAGACAGTTGAGAGAGGCATATCAGGTTCCACTGTTTCCAGGAATCCATGATGTCCATGATATGCCCAGCTGGCTCTGTCCCAGAGGGGCATCCGGGAGCCCCTTCTCCCGTTCTCATCGTTGAAAAAATTTTGTCAGTCGCGTTGAGAGACCAACTGACCAGATCCATTTTTAATAATTTCCAGTTTCCAGAAAAAATGCTGAAGTGCTGTACACCCAAAGACAGACCAAGAGCCTTGGGATACGATAGGGAGGAGAGGAGGAAAAAAGTGTCTGTACTCTCCAAGAGCCGGACTAAGCTGGTGTTTTTTCCTGTCACCTTCCCCCCTTCCCAGAAATTTTCAGTGGAAACAAAGATATGTTCCCTGCATGAGGGTTTCTCTGGGTGCTCTGGTTTCCTCTCAAAGACCAAAAACCCATGTGAAACGGGAGAGTAACCCCCAAATTCCACTACCTCCGCTCCGCTCCGCTCCGGTCCGCCCCCGCCTTCCGCAGCCGCTCGCTTCCGAACTCAATTTTTTACTGGTACCCGCTCTACAACGGCTCCGCTCCGGTGCGGAGACCTGAGGGGGGCAAACAAGCATGCGCGGGATTTTCGAGATCTTGCGATACAGTCCGAGCAATAAACGCGGAAGTTAGATCCAAACACCCGTTGTGCGGGAGAAGCATCGGAAATGAGCTGTTTAATCTGCCCATCATTGTGTTGAGAGATCAGCAGTGTTTGGATCAACAAAGTGTGACTACTTTGATAGTGGCAACTGTATTTATGGCTTATTTTTGTGCATTTAAACTTCAGCCGCCATTGATAGTTGTTAAAAGTTGTTAAACCTGTGCATATGAAACAAAAAACGCCTTTTGTTTAGCGATTTATTGTGAAAAACGGAAGATGTGCTTGCTCCTTTTCCTGTTGGGCCGTTGTGATTTCTGTCCATTTACTGCGGAGGTGCTCCGGCGTCCGGCAAAAATAGGATCGATTCTATTTTTGCCGGACGCCGGAACAGAGGGCGCCGCACGGCGCCGCACTGCCGGAGCACGGCCGCAGTAGTGGAATTGCTCTGATTGACTAGAACGGGACCGATTTTGCTCCGGCGTTCGTGTCGGAGCGGAGCGCAGCGGAGCGGAGGTAGTGGAATTTGGGGGTAAGAGTCAGAATGATCAGGTAGAGACGGGTGGTGGTAACCAAGACAGACGTACATAATTAAAAGGGATGAACAGTTCTTAAAAACAGATCGAAGTAGCCATGACGAGTAATGTTGAAAGCAAAGAAAATCTGACTTTGATGCTGACGATGCCCAGTTTTTATTCATGCTGTAACACAAGTGTTAGCTTACAAAGCTGCCCGAGAAGTGCAAATGATTGAAAAAAGCAAATAAAAGTGTTGTTTCACATTAAACACCAAAAAAGCCACAAAGTACAGAGTGCAATCTTCATTTATTTAATGTTGTTTTAATCAAGTTCAACAAATCATGATGATATCATCATGAAATTTGCAAGAACTCAGAAGCAGCAGAGGTTCTGCATCACTGTGACACAAACCTGTGAACTCTAACATCCATTCATTATCTCAGATCATCAGTTTGGTATGGATGTTCCTCTGATCCTCACTCTTTAACCATGAGAGTCAAAACACGTGCTTCTCTCTGCACCCGTTATCATTCAAGTGCCAGTTTGGCCCAGTTGGCTGCTTTTATTTTTATTGCTCAATAAGAGCAAGACGCAGACCAGTTGCAGGACACCAACAGCTGAACATTTCCTTTCAACACTTCAGATCTGAATCACTGTCAGGGTCAAACTTCCAATAAGTCGACACCTTTGATATTGGACGGATCTGTTGCTTTTTTCTTTTAGAAAAGTCGAACTTGCTTCTTCAGTTCATTCTTCTTCCACTGAGCGAGGCGGTCAAAGACAGACATGGACATGCCAAAGACTCTGTAAAACTCTTCTGGTGAAAGGTGACGCTGTGTGAGGAAAGACCAGGCCACAGTAACGCAGTCACATCAAACAGCATTCAGAAAAAATACGCTAAGGAATTTTGTTTAGGGAATGAAAGTATTTAAATTATTTATTTGCAAGATACATAATATTCTTGAGTCCATATAGTTATAAAAGTAGATGTATTGATAAATTTATTACCTCTAATCTGGCTCTGTCCACATCAGCGGGAAGACGCTGCTGCCCTCTAACTGACACCACAAGAGTTTCATAGGGGTAAATCTGGGAAAGAGAAACACAGGATTACAAATAGCTGTCTGTGACCAAGCAGTGATGCCACTAAGAGGAAAATGAACCGTGGGAACAATGGACACCCCTATATATTATCTAGGGCCACCCCATTGCCCACCCCTGGCCAAACATGCTTCATCATATAAAATTATTTATCAATCAATCAATTTAGTTCACTCAAGTTAACAAACAGTAAATTACAAACACTTTCATTGTTTAATGTATATAAGTGAAAAAGGAGCAGGAAGAAGAAACATCTTGTAATGGTCAGCTCTTTTGTCAGTTATTACCAAATTAAGTTTGTGGTCATGAACATTAATTTCACTTACAGTCTCAGATGGAAACAATATCAATCTCTTATTTTAACTCCGAAGTACAGACTAATTTAAATTTTTAACTTTAGTTGTTTGAAATTGATTAATAGTGGAGCATTGTTTAATCACCTCATCCACATCTTTCCAGTTTTACTCGATACACTAAGATACAGTTTATGAATGAAACCTTCCACGATTTGCTTATTTGATTATCAATGCTTGTGTCTATTTTGGTCTTTGATGGTGTGAATAAATTCTGTATAAACAAACAAGTAAATAGATACATATAAATTCCTTATTGTCAATATGAGACAACAGCATTAAAATAACTGCTAATTCTGTTGTATTACTGGTCAACAATCTCCATTTTTTTCATGTCCCACTTTGAAAACATTCAAAGTGTCTCTATGATAAAGATGTGCTGGTTTATTTTTTTTTGTTTTGTTTTTTCAGATGAAAAACTGTGTCATCAATTCTGATTTGTATGTTACATGTCTCCTTTTTACCTAATACCTTGTGTATTTTTTTTTACATATATCTGATTATGTGTAAGCATCTAGTGTGGATAGCAAAGTAAGAATTTCATTATGCATGGGTAAAACTCTGAATCATTAATCCTGTTTAATGTTAAGTATTATGATTCCATTTAATAATTTGCAACCAAATAAATCATGTAGGTTTAATAATAAGTTTGATAATTCCTTTAGGTTTGTTGGCAATGACAAAGTGATGAATACTTTTTTATTTGTTCATGTTTTTGTCACCTCTTAGTGGCCAAATATAGTAACAGTCTGAGAAAAAAGCAACTATCGAACGTGCATTTATTTTCTTCTTCTGAGAAAATCACATTTAAATTGTTTTTAAACTTCAAAAATCAGAATTTTAGTGAGCGAGACTGGAAACATCTTTATAATCCATAGCAGATTTAATCCAGACCTTTTCTCTGTGGCTGCTGCATCTCACCTTGTATTCTGAAGAACAAAATAAGGAAAAATCATTTAGTCACCAATTGTTGTTTCTGTTTTATTACATTCATAAAAACAGCATTCATCCAGGGAAGAGTTAAATGAAGAATCAAGAGGATAAGCAGACAGAAGCTGAACAACAACAGGCTCACCTCTGATCTGCCAGTTCACCGCGTTGCTGCTGTCATGCCGGTAATAATCCGAACTGGCACTCCCAGGCTGTCAGAACACAACAGCAAGGATTTAGAAAAGGTAAAAATGTTATCTTTGTAACACACCACTGACTGACACGCTGTATTACCTCGTCCACCCGTTACAACATTCTGAAACCGTCGTAACATTTGTGTCGTTTGTCCTCCAGAAGCAAACTGAGACTAACGAGTTTCTGGTTTCACCAGAAATGAAGCACTTTATCATTTATCACTGTTTAGTGAGCTACCTAATGATTCTTACTCCTGTCTCTCCTAATTTAAAATAAATTGAAAGTTATTTGTAGAGGAGTTTAAGTATCTCGGGGTCTTGTTCATGAGTGAGGGAAAAATGGAGTGTGAGATCGACTGGCAGATTGGTGCTGCATCTGCAGCAATGCGGGAGTTGTCGTGGTGAAGAGAGAGCTGAGCCAGAGGGCAAAGCACTCGATTTACCGGTCGATCTACGTTCCTACCCTCACCTATGGTCCCAAGCTTTGGGTAGTGACTGAAAGAACGAGATCGTGGATACAAGCGGCCAAAATGAGTTTTCTCCGCAGGGTGGCTGGGTTCTCCCTTAGAGACAGGGTGAGAAGCTCAGTCATCCGGGAGGGGCTCAGAGTAGATCGACTGCTCCTCCACGTCGAGAGGAGCCAGTTGAGGTGGCTCGGGCATCTAGTCAGGATGTTTCCTGGACGCCTCCCTGGTGAGGTTTTCTGGACACTCTAACTGGGAGGAGACCCAAGGGAAGACCCAGGACAAGCTGGAGGGACAATGTCCCTCGGCTGGCCAGGAAACGCCTTGAGATTCCCCTGGAAGAGCTGGCCCAAGTAGCCAGGGAGAGGGAAGTCTGGCCGTCTCGGCTTAGGCTGCTGCCCCCGCAACCCGACTCTGGATAAACGGCTGAAAATGGATGGATGGAAGTAATTTGACCATCTCTGTGAAATTTAGATATTCGTAGCCTAAATACATGATTTAAAATGAGATTTGTATAAAACTGCTCAATGGGGTCAGAATACAGAAATAAAACAGATTTTACTTTCTTATTTCCACTTATCCTCATATTAATCAAAAGGGTTTTTCTACAGGGCATTTGGGAATACTTTCTTTTTATGTTTTATAAATTCAGGCAACAAATACGATTTTAAATGATAACTCTGTTAAATATGAAGTTTAACGTGTCTGAGTCGAACTGAGGAGGACATTTATGACCACGATAATGAAAACAGAATAAACAAATGTTAAATACATCAAACTTTGTTTTTTAATCCAAACCCCTGATTGTTTGATGAAACTCACAAATGTCATACCTGACCTCCTGGGACCACTTGTCCATATATGTGTAGGGTTAGCATACGTATGTATTTGGGTGCTTTTAAAGCTCAACTACATTTAACCAAAAATATGTGAATTTCTGTCAGAGTCCAAGCCCCCAGGCCGGGCTCTCCCAGCTGACCGGCTTCTGTCTCGGACCATTACCCAGCATGCCCCTCGCGGGGATTCCCTCCACGTTGCACCTGCGTCATCCATGTCTATATATGGAAGACGCCACACCGGCTCTTCACTCAGTCATCGTTCCACCGTGTTCCATGATCAGAGTATTCAGAAGCTAAGACAGTTAAACCTCCACCTTTCTAACTCAGACCTCATCCTTCCGTCAGCCTTGTCAGCACCGCTTGCAGCCAGCAGTCTCTAATAAAAGCTCTTACTCCCGAACCCAGTCTTCGAGTCTGACAGGATGACTGAGTCCATTAATCCAGCGGAGTTCGAGCAGATTAAGAGGAAGTTGGAGCAGGTTGTTAGCGAGAACGTTCAGCTCCACGCCCTGGTCGACCAGCTTAACACCAGGCTGAACTCCCAGACCGATCTCTCCCTGCAGATGTCTACTGCCGTCACGGCACTCCAGCAGCAGGTTCATGCGCTCCAGTTGCAAGCCATCACTCCACCGACGGGAGAGCCACACTTCAGTCTCCCGGAGAAGTGGAATGGAGAGACGGGGAGTCCAGACGGTCTGCTTGCTACCCTCGACATGCAGTTCGAGTGCCACCCAGGACGCTTCCCCACTGCGCGCTCTCGGGTGGCACAGCTCACCTCCCTGCTCTCCGGACGCGTGGCAGAGTGGGCTGCTGCGCTCTACAACTCCAAATCACCAGAGTGCAGCGACTACGCTGCATTCGTGGCCGCCCTCAGAAAGACTTTTGTTCCACCCAGCAGCGAAATGGGGGCAGAGACACGACTCCTAAAACTCCGCCAGAAGGAGCGCTCTGTGTGCGCATATGCGACGGAGTTCCGCACCATCTCCGCCAAGCTGCGGTGGGATGACTCTGCCCTCCGAGCCGTCTTCTTGGAGGGACTGGCAACCTACATCCGGGATGAGATGGCGGGAAAGGAGCTACCCCAGACCCTGGATGAAGTTGTGGACCTGGTGTTGCGCATGGATCAGCGGGTTTTGGTTCGGCCCAAGCCTCTCATTCGCCCATCCAGGGCGCCTGGACCTTTTCCTCGTCCCCCCACGCCTACTCCCGGACCCGTTGCCACTGAGGAGCCCATGCAACTGGGCCACCTTCCTCCGGAGGAGAGACAGCGACGGTGGCGCGAGGGCCTCTGCGCCTATTGTGGTTCCTCCGACCACAGACGCATGAACTGCCCCCTCCGTTCGGGAAACGAAGGAACCCACTGAGTCTCGGGGTCGCTCAGCCTGGGTCAACTCCAACCCCTGCCCTTTCCAATCGGCTCCTTCTGCACGTCACCCTCCAATATGGCGAGACCTCGCTCCAGATGCACGCGCTGGTGGACTCGGGGGCCGCTGACAATTTTATGGATGTGGATCTGGCTGAACGCCTACGGATCCCCACTACCCCCTTGGAGAGGGTTGTACCAGTGACCACGGTGGACGGCAGGCCCCTCCAGCCTTACCCTGTCCAAAACCGAACGCAGTCCCTCCAGATGACAGTCCAGGGCCACCGGGAGACCCTCCATTTCCAGATTATCCGTGCTCCCTCCTCTCCTCTAATCCTGGGGTTTCCCTGGCTCCGCCTCCACGACCCACGGATCTCCTGGTCCCAAGCTCGCCTTCTGGAATGGGGGGCCCAGTGCCGGACCCACCTCTCTCCTCCTCCACCTCGACCTGACTGCCCGGAAGGTGGCTCCGGTTCAGCGCCACCCAATCTGCCACCGCCCTATCGGGATCTGGCCGCGGTGTTCGATAAGCAGCGAGCCACCGCACTGCCGCCTCACCGTCCATACGACATGGAGATCAAGCTCCAGCCAGGAACCATTCCACCCCGGGGGCGCCTTTTTTCTCTCTCCCCCGCCGAGTCCAGAGCTATGGAGGACTATATCGACCAGGCCCTCCAGCAGGGTTTCATCCGACCCTCGTCATCCCCAGGTGCTGCAGGCTTCTTCTTTGTGAGGAAAAAGGAGGGTGATCTCCGCTCCTGTATTGACTACAGAGGACTGAACAAGATCACAGTCAGAGATCGCCATCCTCTGCCGCTCCTCACGTCCGCCCTGGATGCCATCTCCCAGGCGCGGATTTTCACCAAGCTGGACCTCCGGAGCGCCTACAACCTGGTCCGTATCAAAGCTGGAGATGAGTGGAAGACGGCGTTCATCACCCCCACCGGTCACTGGGAGTACCAGGTCATGCCCTTCGGACTGTGCAATAGCCCCGCCGTTTTCCAACGCTTCATCAATGATGTCCTCCGTGACATGTTGGGACGGTGGGTGTTCGCCTACCTGGACAACATCCTGATATACTCCAAGTCAGAGGCTGAACACCACCACCATGTTCGCGCGGTCCTGACCCGGCTCCTGGACAACAACCTGTTCTGCAAGCCCGAGAAGTGCTCCTTCCACCAGCGGTCCGTTTCATTCCTGGGTTACCTGATCTCGGATCAGGGTCTAACCATGGACCCTCAGAAAGCCCAGGCGGTTAAGGACTGGCCCCTACCTACCAGCCTAAAGCAACTGCAGAGTTTTCTGGGTTTCTGCAACTTCTACCGTCGATTTATCAAAGACTTTAGCACCATTGCAGCACCTCTCACTTCTCTCACCCGACCGAGCCCTCCTGGTCAACCGTTCCGGCTCACCCCAGACGCCGTTCGGGCCTTCCACTACCTAGTCGCTCGTTTCACATCGGCTCCTATCCTGCGCCACCCGGACCAGGCAGTCCCTTTTGTGGTCGAGGTCGACGCCTCTGATGTCGGCGCCGGCGCCATCCTGTCCCAAGGCGGCCCCGACGACAGGCTACATCCCTGCGCCTACTTCTCCAGGAAGTTCTCCACCACCCAGCAGAAGTACGGCGTGGGGGATCGTGAACTGCTGGCCATAAAATGGGCGTTGGAGGAATGGAGGCAGTGGCTTCTGGGCACCACTCAGCCGTTCACCATCTGGACTGACCACCAGAACCTAACCCACATACGGTCCCCCAAGCAGTTAAATCCTCGCCAGGCACCCTGGGCCCTCTTCTTCGAACCCTACGAGTTCCATCTCGCTTATCGCCCCGGGACAAAGAACCAGAAGGCGGACGCCCTCTCTCGCCAGTTCACCCATTCAGCGCCCACGTCCGAGCCGGCGCCCATCCTCCCGGAGCACCGTTTTGTGGCTCACCTTGGGTGGCCGTTGGAGGAGGCCATCCAAAACGCCCTCCAGGGTGACCAAGCGCCACCAGAGACCCCCGCCGGTCGGCTGTACGTCCCCTCGGCCTGTCGCAGTGAGGCGTTGTCCTGGGCCCACTCATCACGCCTGTCTGGTCACGCAGGCTTCTCTCTGACTCTCAGGTTCCTTAAACGGGCTCTCTGGTGGCCACGTATGGAGAGGGATGTTAAGGAATACACGAGCGCTTGTGACGTCTGCGCCCGCTCTAAGGCATCCACCCAGGCTCCGGTTGGCACCCTCAGACCTCTTCCAGTGCCCAGCCGCCCCTGGTCCCATGTGGGGCTGGACTTTGTCACGGGTCTCCCGCCGGTCAACGACCTCGACACCATCCTGACGGTCACTGACCGGTTTTCCAAGGCTGTTCACTTCATCGCCCTCCCGGGCCTCCCCTCGGCTCGACGCACCGCAGAACTGTTTCTGGAGAACGTGGTGCGCCTCCACGGGTTCCCGGTCGACGTGGTCTCGGATCGTGGTCCCCAGTTCACGGCCCGTTTCTGGAAAGCCTTCTGCCATCTAGTGGGAGCCTCTGTCAGCCTGTCTTCGGGCTACCACCCACAGACCAATGGTCAAACGGAGCGGGCAAACCAACAGTTGGGCCGGTACCTCCGCTGCTTCGTTTCGGCGCAGCCCTCGCAGTGGCCCAAGTACCTCCTCTGGGCGGAGCTGTCTCATAATCTCCACACCTCCTCGGCCACTCAGATGTCCCCTTTCGAGGTCTGCTATGGCCATCAGCCCCCGGTCTTTGCCCACCAGGAACCCGAAGTCGCGGTGCCGGCCTCTCAATCCCTGGTGAGGCGCTGCAAAAATGCATGGATCAAGGCGCGGGCCTCCATCACCCGGGCCAACGCCCGTTACTCCCACCAACACCTCCGCAGGCACCGCCCGGGCCCCTCCTATGATCCAGGGGACAGGGTCTGGGTGTCCACGGCAGGCCTCCGGGTCCGCGCCGGTTCCAGGAAGCTCGCTCCCCGGTTCCTCGGACCCTACCCCGTGCAGAAGGTCATCAACCCGGACACGTACCGGCTGCGGCTGCCTACAAGTCTTCGCGTCCATCCCACCTTCCACACCTCCCGGCTCAAACCTTATGTGGAATCCTCACTCCTGCCGCCTCGGGCTCCGGCGCCTCCGCCGGCCCGCTTCCTCGACGGTGAGCCCATCTACACCGTCCGGCGCATTCTGGATGCTCGCCGCCGGGGTCGGGGTTGGCAGTACCTTGTTGATTGGGCGGACTACGGCCCCGAGGAACGCTCCTGGAAGCCGGCCCGTTCCATCTTGGACCCTGCCCTCATCTCGGACTTCTGGGCCCACCGAGGTGGCCCGGGGACTTCTGGAGCCGTCCCTGGACCGGGGGGTCCTGTCAGAGTCCAAGCCCCCAGGCCGGGCTCTCCCAGCTGACCGGCTTCTGTCTCGGACCATTACCCAGCATGCCCCTCGCGGGGATTCCCTCCACGTTGCACCTGCGTCATCCATGTCTATATATGGAAGACGCCACACCGGCTCTTCACTCAGTCATCGTTCCACCATGTTCCATGATCAGAGTATTCAGAAGCTAAGACAGTTAAACCTCCACCTTTCTAACTCAGACCTCATCCTTCCGTCAGCCTTTTCAGCACCGCTTGCAGCCAGCAGTCTCTAATAAAAGCTCTTACTCCCGAACCCAGTCTTCGAGTCTGACAATTTCTATATAAATATGGAAATCCAATCTGATTGGTCTTTGAATGTTTAACCAGAAGATTTAGAATTATTTTGTTTATTGAGGGATCGTAAGTCACTTCGTATCAATTCAGACAGAGTCAAGTATATAAAAAAGTAAGACATTTATTTTCTAAACAATTAAAAACATGACAATTAGGAAACACTTTAGGTGATGAATGAATCTAAGTGGTTGGAATGTGAGGTGTGATGATGTGTGATGTAATCAAAACCTTTGTATCTGGAGAAACTGAGTTCTGAGCGGGAGTGAATTTGGTCTGCTATAACTACAAGCGATGGTTTATAAAACCACATCAGATGCAATCTGTCGAGTCTATGTACCCTCTCGGAGACCCCCGTGGTAGATCCGGAATGTGTTGAAGTCCGGGGACCCCAAAGGTACCGAAGTCCGGAGAAGAAACCGCAGTGCCACTATACCGGTCTCAAGATGTCTCCAGGTCCCGGCAGGTAGTTATTTGCGTCTATGGAGGACTCAAGGAGTCGGAGCTGATTCAGCTTTATTCTGAAGGAACCGTTTGCGGTCAGCTGTAGCGTGCAACAGGTTTTTTTTTCTTTCTTTCTTCTTTTCTTTTGGTCTTTATTTTGGTTTATAGCAAACTACAGGACTTTAACTAAAACTTATTTCACACCATACCTCTAACTGGTTTAGTAAGCTCCTGGTAAGCTTAGAAAAAAAAAGCGAGGACCAAAAACTGTTCTCACTTTGAAAAATGTCCTCACAGTGGTCCACAGTGTGTAGTATGTACAAGAACCCCCCCCCCCCCCCCCCCCCCACACACACACACACACACACACACACACAACAGTGATTGCTTACTCTGTTCAGTCCATTTTTGCCGTAACCCGGCAACGAGGCAGATTTGGTGATGTACGAGTCTGAAAACAAAGAACATACACAAATACTCAAATTAAAACCAGATTTTTTTTCTTCTTTGTGTATTTGATGCTTTTGTGATCTTCATGTTGTCGTGTTAAGAAAAGACTGTGCTAACAAACATTTCAGTTGTCTATAAACTATATAGATATGTTTAAACAGGACCCAGGTTGGATGCTGTCACTGCATTTGGTCCATTCCTTCCACCATGCCATGTACCGAGTGCACTGCTGCAGCTGCAGCAGCAGAGGACAGCAGAGCTTTATTCTATTTGTTTTGCTTCTTCATTATTTTTTTCCTTTCACGAGTCTTCATCCCTGACTCATCCTCTGTCGGATGCTCTTCCCACCACTTTCCCTCTAACTCCATCTTTCTCCTTCAGCCTCTCTCTTTTGTTCTGTTTCATGTTTAAAGGAATTGGATTACAGCGATGTCTGAGAGCCGGAGCAAATGCGTGATGCAGCAGAAAACTGGCTGCTCTGTAAAAAGGAGTCTTTCTCTCTTTAAACAAGCAATGAGAAATAGTTTCGTAGATTTGTCATAGTTTTAGAAAATGTAGATTTTTCATTGATGTGTGCACCGACGCAAATCAGGGTGTAAACTCCTGGCCTATAAGCACCTCCATCACTGTTTACTGCTGCTTATAAATCAGATTTTTGCACAAATTTACTCATAATCTGTGGGACAATTAGGGATTTTAGGGGATAAAAATGCTCACAAAATCAATAAAAGGTGAGTTAAGGTAATCAGATTACTTCGCTGCTTAAATTCATGTAAATTTAAAGGAGTGTGAGGAGAATATAAAGACATAAAATCTATTTCTAGAATCACAGGCAGTTACAAAGTGCTGTGCACTGGCAGGTTATGAAACAGATGGCCAAGGGATTCAAGTCAGTGAATTTTTGGATCAGTGCTGCTTTAGAAAAATAAATAAATAGAAGCTGCAGCGCTGTTCATCCTCCCACCTGTAACCCACAGGAAGGAGTTTGCATGTGTCGGCGTGAGCTGATAACAATCCCTTTAAGGCTCTGCTTCTTCACCAGGAGAATCATCAGAATGAAGAAGATGAGGGGGAAGCAGGCGCATTATATCACCGCCAACTCAGGATGAACGATAAAATCTTAATGAAGCACTCACCGTTGTCAGCGGTGCTGTAGTAAGACGTGGTACCTGAGGGTAAAGATATAAAAACACACATTTCCGGGATTTTCAGTCTTTTAAATGTTTCTTAACAGAGCTTTATAAAAGTGATTGCATGTTTAAGGATACTACAAAGAAGATGTTCAGAAACCCTCATTCACATCATGACATCTTCATTTACTACTGATTACAAAATGAATTCTGTAGAAACATGTACATTTTCAAAAGTTGTGTGACACCAGGAACACATTAAAATTTGACATCTACTCACTAAGGATCCTGCTACTACAAGATTAACTGTTTACATCTTTAAACAACCCAGAGGTACTGCTGAGTGAATTATTTAAAGTTGCTGCGTTCGTTTTTGGAAAAAGCTTTTCAAGTAAGCTACATTTTGAAAAAAATAAATAAGGGTTTGACCCTCTTTCTCCCCATTAAGTCACAGAATCTGATGGTTGCAGAAACTGGTACAATGCCGACTTGCGATACACACATCCACAAGCAGACACACAGCTCCGTTGATATGCTAAGGTCAAATTTTCTAGAACAAACTCTGAACTGAACCAAACCTCCTCCCGCTCGCTTTGCGCCACCCCTTTTCCACAATTTAGTATGCTAGTATTCATAGCTTGTGGTGTTTTAGTGGCGAAAAATGAGGCAGTTTTTAGCTTCCTTTGGTTTATTTTTAACTTCAGTACCCCTCACAATCTGGCAAATCTGCACCACCAACAAAACCTGCAGAACACTGCAATGCACGCACACACTGACGCTCATTCTCATGCAACCGACAGAGTTGAGGAAAACAAATCCAACTGCAGGACATTTATAAAACATCAGCTGTGTGATGATTTATCCCTCATGGCATCATCGTTCAGGCATATTCACCATCAAGTCCTACACATCTCATAAAATATGAATCTGCTCCACCAACGCCGCTCCAGCCCCGCTCATGAATCGTCACTTTTCTTCAACTCATCTCATCAGAGGGTCTGTTGTGCCGAAATAAGGCAGGAATGTTGACCAAAAACATACAGACACACCTAACCACCTGCTTTCACTCTCATCCCGCTAACCTGCGTCTCTTAACTTAAATTAAAGGGTGAATATGGAGCACGAACACCAAAGCGATATCTGGTGTGTGGAGGCTGTAGTTGCAACAATAGAACAAGGTCTCCAGGTGTCGGGATATCAGGTTCCTGGCCGATACGTGACATTTTTTATATGGGTCCATCTGCTGCAGGCTTCACCTAAACTCTGGGTGGTTTAGATCTTTTGTGGTCGCTCCTCTTCTGAGAAGGATAACGACACCTTCTGGGCTCAGAAGCAGCTGCTTGACTGTCGAGTCCGCCATTTTCCACAGTGCCGCTCTCGCTGTGCCGAGTGGGCTTTTACAGACAATAGTGCCCTTTAATGGCTGGTAGATGTAAACATAAATAAATATCAAAATAAATGTTTGATTATTTTTTCATTAAAACATAACTTTTAAAAGAAATACTGTACCTTCATTCGGCACCTCTAAACGCCACGCGGAGGTTTTATTTTTATAATTTTATTTTTAAAATAGCTTTTTATTAAACTGTTCCACATTCAACCGTTAAATAAATCTGAATCAAAGAACAGAGGTTCATTTGTCGTATAACATGTCCCATAAAACCCACCATGATTGCATCCATCACTCTTTGTGACTCTCCAGCTCGTTTTTTCCTGTCTCCACTGCTCTCTGACCCTCATTTACCTCTAGGCTTCATGTCGTATGTCTTCTTCGAGCAGTTTTCAAATTGCTTTAGCTTCTATTTCCTTCTCTCTCTTTGTTACACCTAATTCACCCTATTGGGTTCACTCGCTCAACATTTTTCTGTTAATTCTTCCTGAGTTTTATTCCACATCTGCCGAGTCTCTCCCTCTTTGTCTCACCCTCACATCTGCTGAAGACGATGAGGAGGAATGACATGAAGGGAGGAGATAATACAGAGGTGAGGAACTGTCCTGAAGCTTCAGTAGGGAGTTTTTAACTGGCACACCCTGCCTTGGGGCTGCAAATTATTCAATATTTAAATAAGACTCCCTTCAGCCTGCCTTCTGTCAGATCTGACAATAGAAGAGTCAGACCTTTAGTGACATGCCCTACTATCCATCTGTTAAAACTGCAGCTATGTTGTTTTTGAGTGACAGCGGTGGATAACAGCAAGCAGCTCACCGTCGTCATTGTAATGTTCAACACTGAATTTTGTATTTGTTCTGTTTTTTTATTTTTTTGCTTGTAGAAACAGAAATATGTGTATTTTTATCCAGACGGGGTCAAAATTCAACTCTTCAGATCATGACACATACATGGAATTGTTAATTTGGTGAAATTTGGAAAATCCTCCCTAATTTTGTGTAAATAGTTATTGCACACCTTCTGTAAATCCTATAAACTTCAGTTCACTTCTCAAATATCACTGTGTGTGTGTGTGTGTGTGTGTGTGTGTGTGTGTGTCCTATGATATATTTAACTGAAATTTTTATTGGAGCAAGCCCCAATTTACACAGGAAAATCATGAAGATTAACAAGGCTGCCCAAACTTTCGCATTCCACTGTATGTATCACTACTGAATGTAAAGGAGAGAGTGTAGAAGCGATCTGTTATAATATTGCAAAGGTCTGAATTGGGATCGGACCCCCAAAAAGGTTTCTTTTAAAAAACATTGTGTGTAACTGGTTCATTTAGGGTTTATTTTTATAAAGTTTAACAGTGTTGCCTTCAGATCTGAAGAGTGCTACGTCCGTGGGTCTGAAGTTAAAACACTTGGAAAACTTGGGTCTAGCAGGTTTACTTAATTCATCATAACCCTAACCCTTCAAATGCCACATATTAGATAAGATAGATGACAGACATTTTGCTTTATTTTCAAATAATTTTTGAGGTAAGCTTTGTTTTTCTGTAAGATATTTCTCATGCAACAAAGCATTAGTCTCTATTTCTTTTTTCAACCTCTTTTTGTGTCGGTGAATCCTTTTACAGTTGATCTATATAGAGTTGTTTGCGATGGAAATCAACAAATATCCGTTTTTTTTGGTCATTGTTTTAAAATCTTCCATCTCCTCCTTCTCTTGTTGCATTTTCAATGGATATTTCACCTAAAATTGAAATGGTGTCTGTTGACATATTTCCCAGAGTTAGATAAGTGGGAAAAAAACAATTTTAACCAGGCCAGTCCCGGCTGTACTCCTTTAGCTTTAGCTTAGCATAAAACACAGTAAGTGAGTGGATCCGACTAGCATTGTGAGTAAAACAAAGTCCTTAAAATCACTCAGTAGTGATTCCAATTCTTCCTGGTGACTAAATAATGGGACTGACTGCAAGTGAAAATAATTAATAACATAATGAAATCACAGGCGCCATTTTAGACATGGGACTACTTTATGACAAAGCACAGCTAAGCCTTCGCTGAAAGGTGCAAGGGACGACTGGTTTAATTCAGAATTTTCCATCTACAAATGAAGAATAACTTTCTTTGAGTTTAACAAATAGTCTTCAAGTGATTAGTTGGACATTTTGCAGGTTTCCAAGTCAAACAGTGATTTTTCAATAATCCAAACTCATCTTTACATTCATGGTCTTTCTCCTTTTGAAGTGAGAGGACCTCCTTAACTCCATTGCGTTTCATTCTGTTGTTTAATGATTGTAATTCTATCTTTCAGGCTTTTCCCATCGATGCTTAAAACAGATTTGAAGACAGTTATTTTCCTGCTTGAGCTCCTTTACAGATTCATCCTGTTGTAATATTTTGTATTTCAGACAAGAATATTTCCTCATTTGATTTCTGGATTTTGTCTTCATTAACCAATTTCAGTTGTTTTAACTCTTTTTCATGTCTGCCGTTGCTCGGCAGCATGTTTCTCTTTCAATAATGTGGTCTCACATTCATAATTTTTGACTTTATATGATTAACTTCTTTAAAGGAAATATTAACTCCACCTACCAGACATTGTAAAGAAGAAAAATTCACATTTCACACTTTGGATCGATATTTATGATTGTTTTGATAACATATATTGGAAAACACCTAAATTAACATTGAGAGAATGAAGTTGTGTCTTTCGCAATTTGTGTCTCTAAACATCAATAAAGTAAACACATCTGCATAATGTGCAGTAATATTTTTAAACACTAGAAAAATCCTGAAGAAATTTTAACAGGGACCTGCCCGCTGGCACAAGATAGTGGCCACATGTTACAGAGGTCCAAAATCATGATATTGGGGTGGCGTTGGGGTGATCACCCCCAACTCATGATATACATCTGAGTCAAGCTTTTTTTTCCCCGGAGAATGACTTACAAGGCATTCATTCCTACTAGAGACCAATGCAAACGTCTTAAAAATATGAGTGATGGACCTCTTTAGACGTCATCAGGTGATTTAAGCAATATTTTACTGAGAGCATAACCCTAACCCCAAAAAGCATTTACAGCATCACATATTTATAGTATCTTTGAATACTTTTTTGTTATTAGCTATTTCAACTTGAAATAAGTAAAGGAAAAAAATCCCCAGCTTTCAGAATTTATGATTTCATTTGTGTTCATTCATCCAAAGGAGGAAATAAATCTCTATACAAGACATGTTGCCATGGTAACTTAGAAATGAAATTAGCTAAATGACTAACCAACAACATGAATACCCAAACGAATAATCAACAACAACCACATCGACAAAAAATTACTAAGTTGTGGAGTGAGATGAAGTTACATAAATAAATAAATAAACTGAACAGTTTTCTTATGGAACAAAATCTTTCAAAATTTTCATGCAGCTTAGGTTAAAGACTAAGAAATGAAAGAGAAAAAAAACCTTTTATATTCAATCCTATTGGAGACACATCAGTTTGTACCACAGAGAAAATGATTGAGCTGTAGAGGAGTTACTTATACTTTCTGGCTTTTTGTTTGGTGTAGAAATAAAAATCAACCTTTGACAGATTCCCACCGACGTGTTCAAATAATGATCAAATGAAATACAAACTTACAGCCATTAAGGGAGCTGTATTCCAGACTGTCCTTGCTGCTGCACCGAGAGCTGCGCGTGCTCCTCCAGTGGTCGTTGTCGTAACAACCTGATTGAGCCTTCATCTCCTCCTTCAGGATCATCCGGCCAATTCCCTGTGTTGAGCAGTTGACATCCAATAAGACTGATAAGGATGTTAATTATAGATGGAATTGCTGTCAGGCAAAAAATTCGATGGCTCAGTCCTTTCAGCCTTTGTGTCTCCACACAAAATTGGCCCTTTCAGGACTTTGCTAAAATGTCAGCAAATTGTGACCGTTTAGGCAAGGGGTGATGTCACTTATCAGCGCAAAAAGGCATAAAAATAACATAAAACATTTTATCCTGTGGCTCAACTGCGTTCTTCCCCTTCTCCAGAACCACGGCTGCTTAACTCCCTGGCTTTTGGATCTCCTCTCACTCTGACATCCTCCCGTGTCTCCTGTTCACCCTCCAACGTTACACTGTAAGCCACCTCAGCTTTTATTATCATTCTGCTGGTACCTGTTACTCACCTCTGAGCTGCTCCAGTCCCTGCTCCCGAACAATCCTACTCGCCGGTCTACAGCCCCGGCCCTGCTCACCTCTCCAGCAACTACCTTCATTCTCCTCCCAGTAAGACGTCTCCAACTGTTCTATATTCCTCCTCGTTCCGCTCATAACCTCCTGCATTCTTCATTCCGGTGGACTAACCTCCGGATCCAGAACCCAGCCTATTACTGACCTGCCTTTTAGTTCCTGAAAATAAACATTTTTGTAATTGCACTGTCTCCTGACTTTCACATTTTTGTGGGTCAAATTTATTCTTAAAACCATGACACTTATTTCCATTTCCTTGCATTCCACTTCACCATGGACGTAATTTTCACTTTAGAAGTGTGTGTGTGTGTGTGTGTGGGGGGGGGGGGGGGGGGGGGGGTCTTTACAGTATGCTCTAATGGGAAACAGGCTTCGACACAAACGGTTGTTTTCCGCTTGGTTCTAGTCGCTCAACCAGTGTCAATTTAATATAGCGTAATATTGTTTTTGGATGGTAAAAAGTGCAGGGGTCAAAACTTGACTTTGGAAAAAGTGGGGGGGACATGTCCCCCCTGTCCCCCCCAAAAATTACGTCCATGCACTTCACCATAAACGCTTTAAATTTCACAAATTGTTTGGCGACGTCCTTTTAGGCTGGCTCAGTGAAAAGGAGATGAACCTATTTTCCAGGTCTGGTAAAATACCCAAAAGTTCAGAAATCTCAGATGTGAAGTGTGACCTGTAGAGCTGATTTATACCACACACACACACACAAATGCTGCCTTAAAAATGAGCAAGCTTCTTGTGCAACTGTGATATTTAAGTGTACATAAGCAGCTGATTAAAAAGAATGAGGGGAGGAGAGAAGTGTGGAAGCATCGCTCTGGTGCCCAGGTTGGAAAGCATTTAATTAACTGTCTCATTAAATATTAATGCTCTGTTGAATTATAAAGGAGAAGCAGAAAAAACATCTTCCTTACCCTGTTTATGTTGTGATTCCATCCATCTTCTCCTCCTGATGAAAACCTTCTCATCCGGGAGACTAGAAAGAGGGAGGCAGGAGGAAATGAGGGATAAAACAGCAGAAATGGGATGGAGGACAAAGTGAACAGCTAAGCAGATTATTTTACCATTTATGCATTTATTATAAAATACACTTCAGCTGTGGAAACACTGGAAACACGCATTAGGTAAAAATATTGTCCTAAAAACAAAGATGATAAAACTTAAGAAACCTTTTGGAGAGCCACTATAGGGAAAGTAGTTGGAGTCGGCGTGATAAAGGTTGTTGCAGTTAGAGGTGGAGAGGCAGCTGGAATTGATCAGGTTCTCATTGATTTTGGTCCTGTTGGCTGTCGGAGAGGCAGACAAGTCTGAGGAAAAGACAGAAAGAGGGTGGAAATCTGTAACGTTAAAATAATGCACTTTCATTATAGACATATTTTAATTTAACCTCTTAAGTTTATATTTGCACATGAAGCCACAAATTTTGCTGAACAACCATCATCCATTTAAAAAATGACAAAACTAAACATCTACTTAAAGAGACAAAAAGCTCCAGTTGTAAAGGCACAGCCAGCTTAAATAATCACACGCATCACGATCCTAACATGCAGCATTATTTAGCTGATCATGGGATATTCATTTTTTTGCCATGATACAAAAACCGCTCTGTTACATGATTCATGCTCGTCTCTCGTCTTCCTCCGCTTATCCGGGTCCGGGTCGCGGGGGCAGCATCCCAACTAGGGAGCTCCAGGCCGTCCTCTCCCCGGCCTTGTCCACCAGCTCCTCCGGCAGGACCCCAAGGCGTTCCCGGACCAGATTGGAGATGTAACCTCTCCAACGTGTCCTGGGTCGACCCGGGGGCCTTCTGCCGGCAGGACATGCCCGAAACACCTCCCCGGGGAGGCGTCCAGGAGGCATCCTGACCAGATGCCCAAACCACCTCAACTGGCTCCTTTCGATCCGGAGGAGCAGCGGTTCTACTCCGAGTCCCTCCCGAATGTCCGAGCTCCTCACCCTATCTCTAAGGCTGAGCCCGGCCACCCTACGGAGGAAACTCATTTCGGCCGCTTGTATCCGCGATCTCGTTCTTTCGGTCATTACCCAAAGCTCATGACCATAGGTGAGGATTGGGACGTAGATCGACCGGTAAATCGAGAGCCTGGCTTTCTGGCTCAGCTCCCTCTTCCCCACGACAGATCGGCTCAGCGTCCGCATCACTGCAGACGCCGAACCAATCCGCCTGTCGATCTCCCGATCCCTCCTACCCTCACTCGTGAACAAGACCCCGAGATACTTAAACTCCTCCACTTGAGGTAGGACCTCTCCCCCGACCCGGAGGTGGCAAGCCACCCTTTTCCGGTCGAGAACCATGGTCTCAGATTTGGAGGTGCTGATCCTCATCCCAGCCGCTTCACATTCGGCCGCGAACCTACCCAGCAAGAGCTGAAGGTCAGAGCTGGATGAAGCTAGGAGGACCACATCATCCGCAAAAAGCAGAGACGAGATTCTCCTGCCACCAAACTCGACACACTCCACACCACGGCTGCGTCTAGAAATTCTGTCCATAAAAGTGATGAACAGAACCGGTGACAAAGGGCAGCCCTGGCGGAGTCCAACCCTCACTGGGAACAGGTCCGACTTACTACCGGCTATGCGGACCAAACTCACGCTCCTCTGGTAAAGGGACTGAATGGCCCTTAACAGAGAGCCACCCACCCCATACTCCTGGAGCGTCCCCCACAGGGTGCCCCTGGGGACACGGTCATAAGCCTTCTCCAAATCCACAAAGCACATGTGGATTGGTTGGGCAAACTCCCATGCCCCCTCCATCACCCTTGCAAGGGTATAGAGCTGGTCCACAGTTCCACGGCCAGGACGAAAACCACATTGCTCCTCCTCTATCTGAGATTCAACTATCGATCGGACCCTCCTCTCCAGTACCTTGGAGTAGACCTTTCCAGGGAGGCTGAGGAGTGTGATCCCCCTATAGTTGGAACACACCCTCAGGTCACCCTTCTTAAAGATGGGGACCACCACCCCGGTCTGCCACTCCCTAGGAACTGCCCCCGATGACCACGCAATGTTGTAGAGACGTGTCAACCATGACAGCCCTACAACATCCATAGCCTTGAGATACCCAGGACGAACCTCATCCGCCCCCGGGGCTCCGCCGCTGTGTAGTTGTTTGACTACCTCAGCAACTTCTGCCCCCGAGATCGGACAGTCCATCCCCAGGCCTCCCAGCTCTGGTTCCTCCTCGGAATGCGCATTGGTGGGATTGAGGAGCTCCTCAAAATATTCCTTCCACCGTCCGACTATAGCCCCAGTTGACGTCAGCAGCTCCCCATCCCCACTGTAAACAGTGTGAGCGAGTTGCTGCCTTCCTCTCCTGAGGCGCCGGACAGTTTGCCAGAACCTCTTTGTAGCCGATCGATAGTCTTTCTCCATGGCCTCACCAAACTCCTCCCACGCCCGAGATTTTGCCTCGGCAACTGCCACTGCTGCACCCCGCTTGGCTATCCGGTACCTGTCTGCTGCCTCCGGAGACCCACAGACCAGCCACGCCCTGTAGGCCTCCTTCTTCAGCCTGACGGCTCCCCGAACCTCTGGTGTCCACCAGCGGGTACGGGGGTTGCCACCACGACTGGCACCGGCCACCTTACGACCACAGCTAGCAACAGCCGCCTCGACAATCGCAGAGTGGAACAAGGCCCACTCGGACTCAATGTCCCCCACTGCTCTCGGGACGTGGTCAAAGCTCTGCCGGAGGTGGGAGTTGAAGACCGTCTTGACAGGTTCTTCTGCCAGGCGTTCCCAGCAGACCCGCACTATGCGTTTGGGTCTGCCAGGTCTACGCGGCATGTTCCCTTGCCATCTGATCCAACTCACCACCAGGTGGTGATCAGTTGACAGCTCCGCCCCTCTCTTCACTCGGGTGTCCAAAACATACGGCCGCAGGTCAGATGATACGACTACAAAATCTATCATCGACCTGTGACCTAGGCTGCCCTGGTACCAAGTGTACCGGTGGGCATCCTTATGTTCGAACATGGTGTTCGTTATGGCCAAACTGCGGCTTGCACAGAAGTCCAATAACAAAACACCGCTCGAGTTCTGATCAGGTGGGCCGTTCCTCCCAATCACACCCCTCCAGGTCAAGCTGTCATTGCCCACGTGAGCATTGAAGTCCCCCAGCAGGACAATGGAGTCCCCTGATGGAGCACTATCTAGCACTCGTCCCAGGGACTCCAAAAAGGGTGGGTACTCTGAACTGATATTTGGCCCATAAGCACAAACAACAGTCAGGACCCGTTCCCCGACCCGAAGGCGCAAGGAAGCTACCCTCTTGTCCCCCGGGGTAAACCCCAACACACAGGCAGAGAGTCTCGGGGCTAACAAAAAGCCAACCCCAGCCCTCCGCCTCTCACCCGGAGCAACTCCAGCAAAGTAGAGTGTCCAACCCCTCTCCAGGTCTCGGGTTCCAGAGCCAATGCAATGTGTCGAGGTGAGTCCGACTATATCTAGCCGGTACCGCTCAACCTCTGCCACAAGCTCCGGCTCCTTCCCCGCCAGCGAGGTGACGTTCCATGTCCCAAAAACTAGTTTTCTTGTCCGGGGATTGGACCGCCAAGGCTCCCGCCTTGGTCTGCCACCCGATTCGCATTGCACCGGACCCTTCATGTTCCTCCTGCGGGTGGTGGGTCCACAGTTGGACGAGCCCATGTATCCGGTTCGGGCTGGGCCCGGCCGGGCCCCATGGGCGAAAGCCCGGCCACCAGGCGCTCGCTCACGGGCCCCAACCCCAGGCCTGGCTCCAGGGTGGGACCCCGGTAACCCTCCGGGCCGGGTACTCCGACTCTTCGTTTTAACCGCCATGAAAGATCCTTCGAACCGTTCTTTGTCTCACCCTTCACCTAAGACCAATTTGTCATGGGAGACCCTACCAGGGGCACCAAGTGCCCCAGACAACATAGCTCCTAGGATCATTAGGGCACTCAAACTCCTCCACCACGATAAGGTGACGGTTCAAGGAGGAGATGATTCATGCTCTAAATTTAAATTCATTCACACAGCTTGGATCACAGATTGCCCGAATGAGAAGAAAGGTTTGTCAGCATTTTGCGGAGCAGAGTAAATCATGCACAGATCTTTTCTGAGGAACTGTAGCGCTGCACGATCTGATGTGTGTGCACTGATGGATCACCAACACACTCCGTGTTTGGCACGGCTTCCCTTGAATTTGATTCAGTCTTCATAGATTCAGCTAAATCTATGATCATAAGTTTAAAGTGGCAAAAACTGTCAAACTTCACCTCAAGTCCCTTCAGTTTAGTTCAGTAATGATTGATAAAAGTATCTGTCATCATTAGGAATGAATTGAGCTTCACAAACTGTTGTCTGCCAATTCTGAAACAAGACTTTACATCATATTGTTGAATTTCTCCCTCAAAAGACACTTTCCAAAGCGTTCTAAACTAAACGTGACTGTCAGTATGGAAAAAAGCACTCATCCTAAATGTATCGTGACACTTTTGCCTCAGCTGACCTTTCAGCAGCCTCATATCTTACTCAAACACTATTATTTGATTGTCAAGACCAAATGTTTCATTTAATAATGTGAAAACAGTAAAATTTTCATCAGTATAAAAAGGACAAAAGTCAGCGTTCCTAGTTTTCTTTTACAAACCAGAACAAAAAAACCAATACAGAGTATTTTGTTTCTTTATTATTCAATCAAAAAAGCAAAAACAAAATTTAATGAATGATAAACACCCAGAAATTGTTTCATGTTTTAGTAATTGTCTTCTGTCCCCCATAGCATCTTGGGCTGAGCACTCAGTGACTGTAACTCAGTGACTCAGTGCATTTGTAGTCCTTTCACACAAAAACTAAAATAACGTTTCCCCCGTTTGAAACGAAGCGCTGTCTTGGCATCAAAATGAATCTTTAAAATTCACAGACATCATATGTGAAACCCATGTCACATAACAAATGGGATTAGAAAACTGCGTTTTTTGCCCCATTGACTTGCATTCATTTTTTCTTTCTTCCACGGACCCGTGATGCGGAAGTAGATGGGCGTGACTTAGGCTCTCTAAAGGACTTGGATTACTTACTTGACACCAGCCAGTGAAGATATGTCTTTCATCACCTGTAACATGGCCCCGCCCACAAAACTATTATATTTTTTTTCTATCGAACAAAAAACATTTTTTTTTCACAACAAAAAAATGTCAACAAAATTTGTAGTTCTGATTCCAATTTAAAAAATATATGTTTTTACTTTTGCAAAACAAAACTGCATTACTCAAACCAAAAGTATAAATGATTGGATTTGATTTGTCATCATGCCTTTCAATAAAGAAAGAAAGAAAGAAAGAAAGAAAGAAATTGTTTTTTATTTGCAGTTTTTCTTGGTTTGAAGTGGATTTAAAAATGATACGAAACAAAAACTGTAAAAAACCTGTTTATTTGCAAACTCACATAATGAATTGTGACAAAGAAAAAGTGGAATATGAGAAATGGTAGATTAATCTTCAAGCCAATAACAATGACACAGAAATATGTTTATGTTTATTTATTTGGCAGACACTTTTATCCAAAGCGACTTACAATTTATAACCTATAGGGCACGTTGTGATGAATTTGATGCTTCAGTTTATAAATCATCCAGTGGCAATCTATGTATTAAGCTGTGGAAAATGTCACCAAGTCCATTTTATGCAGGTTCTCAGAAAAGGGATTTTTATGATTACTTCCCTTTTCAGGGTATTTGGAGTGTCTGCCTAAATACCGGAAGCACAAAAGTTCAAACGACAAGAAAGATTTAAATATTAAGCTCAGTTTTTATAATATATTCATGAATCAACTGCACTGAAAAAAATACTCTTTAGATTTACTTGATTTTATTGTGTTCATCGCTTCCACATGATTCAAATAAGTTTAACCGATAGAACATGTCTCTTACCTTCTACTAATAAACTCTCTTCCAATCAAAGTATTTTCTTTATGTGAAACTGCTTAAAAAATCATGTTGCCTCAGCATAATTTTTTTTTAATTAATGTCAAAATAATTTTCTTAGGTTTAGTGTACAATATTTAACTGTAATACCAACTTAATTTTTTTATGTTAGAATTACTCTAAAATATTGTATAAACCTAATGCAAAGTAAGTTTGTCTATCCTACTTTATTCTTTCAAGATGCCTGTTTCCAAATGTAATGTATTCATCTGTCCCATGTCTGTGCAAATTAGAAAATGAAAAGTATGAACTGCATTGACAAAAAGCCAGAGAACTGAAAAGTTGTATTAAAACTCAGTTTATTAACCTTTTGAGGGCAGAAAATGACAAAGCAATAAACTTCCATTATCATTGACTCTTAACAAAAGAGATATTTATTTTTGCATTGACTTGAGGGAAAAAAAGAACCCGTGGAATTAAGTCTTCACAGCAATAGAAAAGGAAAAACAAAACTGCAGATCAGTCACCTTAATTAAAACATCTCTGCCCTAAATATTGTATTTTGCATCCATGCATTTTAAATTTTGTTTCAACTGAACCTTTCCAGCATAACTGAAAACTTGCTGCTCTGAATAAGCTTCCCCTATCTAAAACATTTCATGAGAAAACAAGGCTTTCACATTAACAAACAATGATGAGTGCAAAGCTGCTAAAATATCCAGATACTGAAAACCTTCTGCTCTGAATGAGATTCCCACAAACAAAACATTTTATGATAAAATAGAACTTTCATACTAATTAGAATAAAACTGATGAGTGCAAAGCTGCTTAAATATTCAAATACTGGAACTATTCAAGGACCTGCCTGTAATGATTATAAACTAGTCAATAGTACTCAACAATTAATAATGAAACACTACCAACTTCCAATGGAGTCATGACAAAACAATAGGCCAAAATGGGTCAATACAAATGGCAACATAAATTGTGGTCATTAAATCATTCACTGAAATAGCTGGTTTTTGAGAGCAAGTGTTTTGTTGGATGTTTTATTGTCATCCAGTTCCATGTAAACCTTCCGGTCTACCTCAAAGGTGTAACGGTGGACAACCGGATAGTTGAGGTTTAGTGCATACATGAGTCCAAATAGCACAGCAACTGCTAACGCTACATTTTCCAAATCCTGCAACACTCTGATTCCTTCAAGGATAATCCCAATGTCCTCTGGTTCCACAGAAGTAGATCTTTTGATGACATATATTCCAATGGTGGTGTCTTGAATGACCTCTTTGATGGCATTTTCATCCATGTCCTGTAGAAAGACAAAATTTATGAATTAATATAAAAATACAAAGCTCGTTATGAAGGCCCTTTACAGAAAAACACACATGGATGTACTAGACATTATCACAGATTATCGCAGATTATCACTCACACCGACTCTGTTGTAACTACACATACTTATTTGATATATTTAAACATTATGAAATGCACAATCCCACTGAATAAATCCACATATATTGCTCATTGTAAAGCACTCATTGCTGGGTCCAGCAGAATACAGGAATTAAACTCTCAGATGTATTATTCACTGCCTTTCTAGCAGATGTGAGAATGTTCTCAACCACAGGTGGAGGATGAATACTAGAGTCTTGGAAGATCCCTCCCCACGGGTGTGTTTGTGTGCGAGATAAATATCAGCTTCTCACAAGATATCGGTCAGTTTTAGTGAGCACCACCTCACCCCTACCACATGGACCTCAAGAGATAAATCATCAACCCTGCTCAATGGTCAACTTTCCTCGCAGGGTCACCCATTAGGACAGTGGGAGGGTTAAAGGCTTTTAAAAGTTTATTATATATGTATATAAAGTTAAAGTCCCATCCGTTGTCACACACTGATGTGTGTGCGAAATCTGTTCTCCGCATTTGAAAAAAAAGAAAAACATCTCAAAGCTAACGATGCAGCACAAAGCTTCCAAATGCATTTGAAATAGCTAGCTATCTGTGAGACGAGGACGCCGAGCCGATCTGGCAGCCTGAGCAGATCTGGTACCGACACCGGCTGTCTGAGCACGTGACGTCACGCTGCAATGGTTCTACACCCTACAGTGCAGTCCTGCGCTGCATGTTAATAATTCTGAGAACTAAATGCACCAAACATGGCATCCATTTAATAGTGCTCTTTCTGTGGTTTAATTAGCTTGCTGGCCGACAAAATCGCTACACACACGGACATATTAAAAAAAAAGGTTACTTTCCGCCGAACATGAACACCGAACGTTCGACAGTCCACACAGTTATCAACTTAACAGCAAGCGTAGTGCTCTGAATAAATAACTCGACAAAAATGATCTAGAAACGGCTCATGCTTAATCTTAAAGTACTTTTACTTACTTTCTCACTCAGTATCCATGTGCTTACTCAGGCTCCACATTAGCTCCATGCGAGGGAAAGAGCCGCAGGCTTCTGCTGCAGGTGGTTACACCCGTCTCCTCCTCCAGTCTTGTTGGGTGATCACAATTGGCTGAAAAAGCTTTGAATTGTCCAGTAATATTTTATTGTGCTTTTTTTTTAACAGTCTGTCACTTCCGGTTTTAGCTGAACATGATTATATTGATTTAAATTAGGCAATGTAATCACTTTTAGTCAATGCAAGAAAATTTTGTACATTTAACATTGTGGAAAAATAACTCAAGACTACTTGAATAGATCATGTATACAGAAGAAACATGTATAACTTGTGTAACGCCTACAAAATATGATTTAGTATATTCAAAGACCTGCCAGGAAATAGACCAACCTTGTCTCTTATAGATGGGGGGTTTTCTGTAGATGTTGGTTTCCTCAGAAGCTGAGAACAGAAACAAGGCTAGTTTTAACGGCATGCAGAAAAATCCATTTTCCGTGGAGAGGAGGAGGAAAGTAATCTGGATCGTGTCATTCATTCTGTCCCACCAAATTAGTTGAATAAATTAACAGTTTTCTGAACCGTAAAACTGACACCAAGAGTAATAAACGGGTGTAGTGGAGGCGGTGCCGTGCATCCTCACAACCTGACTGACATGCAGGAAGGCTGATTAATTCAGCTTCAGAGGCTTCAAACAAAGCAGCCTAAAGCCTAGTTTATGCTTCTGCACCACCTCCACGAGAGAGACGCACGCATTGTTGGAGACTTTTGCAATCGGACTTCTCCGTCTCATAATGAGTGTTGCAAAGCAATTCCTCGCCAGGACAACAGAGGGTGTAGCGCAGTTCTGGGGTATCCTGTCATGTATCCGGTCTAAGCTAGTGTATTTATATTGTGTTTTAATGTATTTCAGAAACTTTTTAACACGGACACATTTGTCCCTTATTCTCCTCCACCGCTTCATGTGTTTGCCACCTCTAAGGATTTCAATGCTTGCTGCATATCTTTTTACTCATCCAGTCACGGGTGAACACTGGGAGGTATCCTTCAAGCTGCTCTGTGTCTGCCACTAGATATCTCCAGCTCTCTTTATGCTTTTGATGGCGAAAGCGGCGTCCTGACCAATCACAAGCTTGCCTTCTCCGTCTTGTTCAATGGATGTTTATGAAAGAGGGCTCGACTCCGTCCAGCCCTTGCGAGCCTGCTAGAGAGCCTTCGCAAGGACGGATAAAGGTGTTGCTACTTTCCTCTGGTGAAGGAGGTAGAGAGAAATCCTCTAGACTAGGAAACATGCTGCAGTTTCTCTGTCCATGCAGGGTATGTGTGTGAGTGTGTGTGTTGACTCGATTCTCAGCTGGGAAATCTCAGTGGGGTGTGTGAGTGTGTGTGGTCAGCCAGGCAATGCTTCCTTTTGGAGCATTTTTCAAAGAGGAAGTATGGGTGGAGTAAGACACTGATAGGGGGGTGACTTGTTCTTTAAAAATTGATGAAAATGGGATTTTTTCTTTATTTCTTGTTGGAAAAAGAAATAAATGATTCACGATCACAAACTGAGAGACGGACTGATGGAAAACAAAGTGGATGATGGGGAATTAAATGCTGTAGGAACTTAAAATATGTGTTTTACTCCGGGAACCAAGTTAGTTTTCTGTGTTCCCTGCTCTACCACACCTGAATGGAGTTATTTAATCCCCTCCTTAACTCTGCATAGGTCTGTTAACTACTCATTCATTTCAATCAGGTGTGTAGGAGCAAAGAAACAGCTAATGTGTGCAGATGGTAGCCCTCGAGGACTGGAGTTGGTGACCCTTGCCCTACGCGTTACTTGTGGCCTCATAAATCCAGTGTTTGTCAGGTTTAGCAAATTTATCTTATTTGAATAAATCAAAAGAAACATTAACACTAACACAACTAATGGGTAGCAACAATATCTTCATATACAAAACCTTGATCATGAAAGTCTGCAGCTACAACACACATGCTGGAGTTGTTGATACTGGATATCTGGCGTGTCATTCAGACCGATGAACGGGGTCACTTTGGGTTAGTAAACAGATCAGGCTTTGGGAATTATCAGCCTACCTGGAACATGGAAGTGCTTGGGGACCTGGAAGGTGGAGGTGGTGGGTGTGGTACACCCGGGCTCTGGCCGACTGTAATAAGGTGAACTCCGGCCACTCTCAGTGCCTGAATCAGCCCAGGCAAGCACAGTGAGAGAAACCAAAACACGACCAGACCCAAACATAAAGACACACAGGCTAATGACATCACTGACTGACAATCGGAGGAGAAACCCTGAATGTCTCCACGCATGAATCCGTCACTCAGTTTGCGTGTTCCCCGTTAGAGACCTTATTTGAAGGTGTGTGTGTGTGTGTGTGTGTGTGTGTGTGTGTGTGTGTGTGTGTGTGTGTGTGTGTGTGTGTGTGTGTGTGTGTGTGTGTGTGTGTGTGTGTGTGTGTGTGTGTGTGTGTTAACTTGAGTGGGCTCCTTACCAGGGAGATAATAATGCAGCGGGGATCCTCCAAGGTGACTCTGTGTAGGAGAGTCGGTGAATGCGGAGCTGGAGGAGTACCTTTTTCTCAGTTCAACGCCGTATAAGAGATCCTGAGAGGAAAAACTGATTTAATCTTTAAGTTAAAGCTGCACATTCATAATCCCATCCAAGTAAATACAAGAGTACAACCTTCTTACAGTTAAGGAAACCTAAACTGACCACAGACTAGGTCCAAATGTGCACCGTACTTTTTAAAGCAGAACTACTCATTCTTTGGTGTCATTTACCAGTTTTTGCAATGTCCCATCTTCAGTTCTGATAGATGACTAACGCTTGCAGAAACAACTTTGCTTACAGACACCTATCAGTGTTTTGTGCAGACATACCACACGAGTAGCAGGACTTTAGATCTGCAGCACAAATGGTCAACTGAACCCTTTCATGCATAATGGTCAGTACAGTGGAGAGCTGCTAAAAATTGTTTTATTTGTTTATTTTTGCTATTGAGCACAGCTCTTGAAGACTTTATTGCATTTGAGCCCCCCATTTGACTCTAGTAAGTCAAGCCAACATATTTCATATTCAGAATGCAAACTGTCCACTGAGGTGGACATGTAATAAATCATTTATTATTAAATGTCAAAAAGAACATTTGTTGAAATTTGTTTCATTCATACCTAAAAGTGAATGATTTTTTTTTTCAAATAGATCATCGTTGAAGATTTCATAATTCGTGCATGAAAGGGTTAAACACTGAAGCTAATATTTCTGCAGTTTCCCATGAACAGCTCTCCCTGTGTTAACAATAGTCAACAGGTGTGCACATTTCCAGTCATAATCCACCATATTCAGAAACATGTGGCAGTAAAATCCAGATGCTTGTCAAGAATCTTCTCTTTCTCCGCTCCAGTGTTCCACCTCCTTCATGACAAAAGTTACCCACTCCACTTTCTGCTTGATCTGCTTCACTGCCTTATTAGAGGAGCCCTTTAACACCATCAATAGCCTGGCCTTATCTTCCATTCAAGCACAATTAATAGATTTTAAGGAGATATTGAGTGAATCTCAGCAGCAAATACTTTAGTGGATTAAAAGAGACCAAACGATTGTTTCACATGGTCTTTGAATACACATAACATCAGAGTTAACAATCTGTTCTATTTTGAATATTTAGAATAAGAAAGATGGGTGATGGGTGGAGTACTTACATGAGTATATGGTGATAATGAGCCCGATGACTGAAGGAGAAAAAGAGCAGAAAATATTTTATTATAAACTAGATTTGTGGTCAGTTTTCATTCTGCTACCTTTTGCATGTGAGCGAGTGTTTGTAAGTGTGTGTGTGTGTACCTGTCCACTGTTGAATCTCTCCAGAGAGTTATTCGAGTGCAGTGTGTGTGCTTGGTCAGCCTGATAAGGGATGATGTCTGGCTGCTGGGTTTCATATATGGTTTTGACCCTGGGTAGATTTGCCAGTTGCTTATAGTCTAAAACATCACTGTGAGCCTTTGACTGTAGGAGAAACACACACGCACGCACGCACGCACACACACACACACACACACACGGATATGAAACAGGAACTCACTCATATGTAAAAAACTGGATGGCCAAGTCACTCCTAAACACACTCAAAATGATCAAAAGTGTATCTAATGGTGTTTCTACCTTGTAGAACAAATAGAAGGTTGGAAAAACACAAGTTCAGTGATGCCAACCAAGTGATTTTCAGTTGGCAACACCTTTTACAGACTTTACTTTTATCTACATTAAAGTGTTTTTACCCTTTAAGTTATTCCTTTAAAATAAGGTTTCAGAGACTCTATAGGTAGAAACTTGATCTACTTAACATTGGACAGCACTCCGTAGCCTTTTGCTGACCAGAAACCAAACTTAACAGTATTGTGGGATGGTCGATGCACTAAGGAGTGCTCTCTACCTGCATTACGGATGTTAGCTGTTTTCTCTGCCGATGGCTAGTACAAAGGCTACCAGTTAGCCGTTTCAGTTTGCCGACCGTCAATAAAAACAGCACAAGAAAAATAAGTTTGATTTGTTGTTGGCATCAAGTAAGAACGTAATGTCTTTGGAGACGAGGCAAACAGCTAAAATCACTGTGAACATCCGTGCGGCCTACACTCATTTTAGGGAGCTAAAGGAGGCTATGAAATTGACTGATGGTGACCTGGCTTTGTTGCTACTGAACTTGTAAGTAATAATGCATTCTGTCCAACATTGTGGATCTTTTCAGTTTGTGGCTTATTTAGTATCAGTTGACTAGTGTTAGCATTAGCTCATTGTTAGCACTAGCTACAGCAGGCTGCATTAGCGTTGTTTGCGATAGTTGTAATTCTAAATTAAAAGTAAAGCCATAATGTTTCTCCATGGTCACACTGAGAATTACTCACACAGATGAGTCGATGGGGGGATCCAAGGAGGGGAGAAGACACTGGAGAAAGGATGGAGGCCGTCTCAGAGGTACGTCTCAGCTGAGAGTCAAACATGATGATGTTTTATTGAACAAAATCAGAATACAAAGTAGTGATGGTTAATATCAGCTTTTTTACTGATAAGTGATAGTCTATAATTAATGATATGGTTCAAAAACCTTACCAATATACGCAAGTTTCCCATTCATAAAACAAATATAAACAAATTAAAACTAAATTATTTTAGATAACTAAAATCACATAAATGACTTATGATGCATACTTAAACATTTTTAAGTTAGGCTATTTATGCCAAACAACCAAAAATATCTCAAAAACTTTACCTCAGATCTGTCATATTTTGACATTTTGAGTGAAAGGAATAATAGCTGAATAGTTTTGTTTATAATATGTGCATGGTATGTAAACATTGTGGTATGTAAAGTATTACAAACCGATACCTATTATTTCCGATATTACATCCCTAATGATCACTGACGTTTGAAAAGTTGGACGGTGTCTCTGTGTCAACTGAGTCATAAGTATTTGTGATATTTGAACAGTGATGCAACTTTTCCACTGCCTCTACTTTGAAAAGTTGATGTTTTATCTCTACAAATAACCTTAAGTTACACCTGGAGGAGCTCTTCCATGTTGTGGAATGCTAACAGTTAGCTTCTACACCAACATGTGCTCTACTCTCTCCTGGCTGCAAAAATCTAGGCAGCCAAGATCCATGAATGTTATTATCTGATTTAACATATATCTGTGTTTTTTTTCTGACCCAAGCGTTTTCCCGTCTAATGCAATTATTTTCACATTCAGCCTGCACGTTAAACCTCATGGCTGGTTTGAAGCCTTCACTCTGGATACTTTTTAATTCAATATTCCCTTTAGGTTTTAAGAGTACTAAACTTTCAGCAGTAGCTCAGAAGGTTGAGCGGGTTGTCCAGCAATTGGAAGGTTGCAGGTTCAATCCCAGTTCCCGCCAGAGAATGCTGCTGTTGTGTCCTTGGGCAAGACACTTAACCCGTCTTGCCGGCAGGCGATGGTCTGAGGAACCGGCGGCGCCAGTGCTTGGCAGCCTCGCCTTCATCACTGCACCCCAGGGCAGCTGTGGCTATATTGTGGCTCATCAGCGTGTGAATGTGTGTGTGAATAGGTCAATGAATGGTTGTGTTGTAAAGTGCCTTGGGGGGTTGTAGAACCCTAAAAAGCGCTATATAAAAGACCATTTAGCTGTTCTGTATTTGTATTCAGACTCATTTGAGTCAACTATTGAGTTAGGAACAATTAAATCACAGCAACCCTTAAGACATTTGTTAGAGGTGAATCATCACGTGTCTGAGGGGTTGATGATAAATTAGTTTGAACATAATAATAATAATAATAATAATAATAATAACACATCAAACTTATGTAGAGCTTTTTAGGACACTCAAAGACGCTTTCATGCACTCTCACATTCACACACTGCGAGTGATGGTAAGCTACTGCGTAGCCACAGCCGCCCTGGGGCAGTCTGACAGAGGCGAGGCTGCCATTTGGCGCCATGGGTCCCTCTGATCACCACCAACACAGGCAAGTTGGGTGAAGTGCCTTGCCCAAGGACACAACAACAGAATACCCCTGACAGGAGCTGGAATCGAGCCCATGACCCTCCAATCATGAGGCAACCCGTTCTACCTCCTGAGCTACTGCTGCCCCTACATAAACATAAACTGAAATGAAGGAAGAAGCACAATAATAATAACAGAGAGCAGGGCACTCACCCTCAGTTTTCTCTCCAGTCGAGCTGCTTCTTTACACATGGGGTGCCAAATGTCTGAACCTAAACACACATGCATGTAAACACAAAACACACACACACACACACACACACACACACACACACACACACACACGCACGCACGCACGCACACACACACACACACACACACACACACACACACACACACACACACACAGAGAGTTTTGTTTATTGTGTGTCGGCAGCAGCCGTACAGTTTTATGAGATCCCATGAAGAGGAGATCAGCCTCTCAAGTGCATCAACATCAGTCAGCAAACACACACTGAAGGCAGGGTGTGTGTGGCTTAGGAGGCAGCTAGTCTGCTCTGAGAAATGAGGGTGCAGCTCCACCAGTCTCCTTAGACAGATAAACACTGAGGGCAATTTTTAGCTCTATGTGGCGTTTAAACCAAAATAAATCATTAGACAGATGTCTGTGAGTAAAAAAATAACTTTGTTCACTGCCTGACCTATTCTCAATAACACTGAATCTTGACCGACTTCAACATCAGACATCCTGATGTGGTTTGTGTTTTGGAGTAGAGATCGACCGATTTTGGTTGTTCCATTGCTGATTTCGACGCTGTGTAGGAGACATGATCAGACGTTTTCCACTCGCTTGCAAAAATGTCACTAACATCAGTTGGTGCACAGAATTTCTGTAGCTGAATCAGTTTTTTAATTCTGAATTCATCCACCTGTTAAATCTTAATTTTGTGCACTGTTCAGTGTGAGTCAGTCATCTAAATAAAGTTAATCAAGCAAGTAATTAAAATGACCAAGTATTCAATATTCAAAACTGTTAAATAAAACGATATTTTAGTAATTTTAGAGAATTTTAGAGAATTTATTATGCAGATGTAATTGAGGAATGTAACTATTCATTTAACTTAAGTATTGAAACAGCACTAGCCTGACTTTAAATCAGCTTTACTACGGAAGCATGTCAACTGATATATCAGTCTACCACTAGTTTGGAGCATTGTGGATATGCTAATGTACTCAAAGCAGTCATGGGCATGCAGCAATCATCTTTTTGCAGCTCTCTAAAATATGCATCACAAAAATGAGTTACAGAAACGTTCCAATCAAAACGAGAAACTAAGATGATCTTTTACACCCTGGGCTAATAACAGCCAGTCTGGCTAATCAGCCAAGAACCGATGAGGAGAAGTTGGCTTTGTCCTTCACCTCAGAACAGGCCTGTCTCTTCATTAAAGGCTAAGGATCAACAGGAGAGATGAGGCTGTCTGTGACCGAAACAAACAAACTTCACAAGACTTTTTTTACTATATATATGCTCCCAATTGGTTAAATCATTAGACAGCTCGGGATAAACTTCCACTGTTATGCTGACGATACTCAGTTATATCTATCCATTAACCCTGATGAACCTAATCGGTTAGTTAGATTACAGGCTTGTCTTGAAGACATAAAAATTGGATGACTTAAAACGTTTTGCTTTTATATCAAGACAAGACTGAAGTTCTCATCTTTGGGCCTGAAATTCAGAAAAGGAAATTGCTTAGTCAATCACCTGACCTGAATGTCATTAAATTCATCTCTGAGAACAAAATAAGGAATGTTGGTGTTATCTTTGACCAGGATATGTCCTTCAAATCCCATGTTAAACAGGTTTGTAGGATTTCCTTTTTCCACCTTCGGAATATTGCTAAGATTAGAAGCATCCTATCCAGGAGTGATGCTGAAAAACTAGTTCATGCATTTATTACATCAAGACTGGATTACTGTAATTCATTACTCTCAGGAAGTCCACAGAATGTGGTTAAAAGTCTTCAACTTGTCCAAAATGCTGCAGCTAGAGTTCTGATGAGAATTAAAAAGAGAGATCATATCTCTCCTGTCTTAGCTTCCCTACATTGGCTACCTGTTAAATTCTGAATAGATTTTAAGATCCTCCTTCTCACATATAAAGCTCTTAATAATCAAGCTCCATCATACATCAGTGACCTGATTGTTCCATATGTTCCTAACTGAACACTTCACTCTCAGACTGCAGGTCTACTGGTGGTTCCCAGAATATCTAAAAATAGGATGGGAGGCAGATCTTTCAGTTATCAGGCTCCTCTCCTGTGGAACCAGCTCCCAGCTTTAGTCCGTGAGGCAGACACCTTGTCTACTTTTAAGACTAGGCTTAAAACTTTTTTATTTAATAGGGCCTATGGTTAAAATCTGATGTTAGCCTATATCTGGACAAGTGGGGGAGTACAGGGAGGTGGAGTGTACAGTCGGTAAAGACGGCTCTCCATTGCTTTGCCTCCAACATGCCTCCATCTAAAAGGCTAGGTTATCCAGAGTTATCTCTGTAGTTATGCTGCTATAGGCTTAGACTGCTGGAGGATACACTGACCACTTTTCACATTCTACTACTTTCTTCTACAATCTGCTCTTTAACTGTATTATTTTCTGCAATTTCAGCTGTTAACTTTTTTTTTGTCTAAGTGTTTTTCTCCCCAGAAGAAGCTACAATAATGTTCTGCTGAGCTGTGGTACCCTCATGGGGGGGGGGGGGGGGGGCATTGTTTTGAACACTGTTGCTAACCACTTAAACATTCTCCCTCTCCTGATAATAACACTTTGCTTTCTTTGACATTGAATGTGTGAGACTAGTTTATCAGTTTAATTATAGATTCACTAGGATAAATACAACAAAGTTAATCTCTCACCAAATAGAATATTTACTAAGAAATCACAATGTAACTATAGAAATATTACTTGGTGTGTGTGTGTGTGTGTGTGTGTGTGTGTGTGTGTGTGTGTGTGTGTGTGTGTGTGTGTGTGTGTGTGTGTGTGTGTGTGTGTGTGTGTGTGTGTGCTCTGTCTTCTTGATCCCCAGTGAGTCGTGGAGGATGGCTGCTTATACTGAGCCAGGATCCTCTGGAGGTTTCTTCCTGTTAAAAGGGAGTTTTTCTCTCCACTGTCTCTGCATGCTTGTTTAGTATGATGATTGCTGTAAAGTCACTGACACTAGTCAGTGACTTGATGCAATTTGCTGGATTCCTTATGTAGGAAACTTTTTTCCAATTGGCTTAATGAATTGACCTGTATTGGAATGTTTATTATGTGAAGTGCCTTGAGACGACTCTTGTCTTGATTTGGCGCTATATAAATAAACTTGAATTGAATTGAATTGAACTAACACGAAACACTGTTTTCTTTCTTCACATCTTCACCATTGGACTACTGTACTTCTTTTCTTTTCAGTGATTTCCACAGCCAATCATCTGTCTCCTTTTAGTCCTATCTTCTGTATCCATCAACCTCACGCCAGCTAACTTCATGTCATGCTTTTTGGTCTTCTTCCCAGTTTTATGCCTGGTGGCTCCAGCCTCAGCATCCTTCTACCTTAATAATCACAGTCCCTCCTCTGGTCTACATATGTTCAAACCCTCTCAGTCTGGCGTCTCTAGCAATAGCTCCAAACATCCAACATAAGCTGTCCCTCTGATAGACTCATTCCTGATCCTATACTGTATATCCTCATCACTCCAAAACAAAACCTCAAAATCTTGAGCTCTCCAACCTTGAATAACCATGTGACCAAAGCAAGAACAGATGAAGACCCTTGAGAGGAAAGAGGAAATGAGGAAAGTCTATCAGAGCTCATTCATACCAATTAACCATTAATGTCAGGATGTCATACACGTGAATCTGATAGGGGTAATGATGTTAGTACATCAGGCCTGTGCATGTACACTCAGACACACACACACACACGCACACACATGCACGCACGCACGCATGCATGCACACTAGTTTTTATTACTTCCTCTGGTCCTGAGGCGATGAAGGCCAGAAGAACGGATTCAGCTGATCATGACTCTGATTTACAGCCAACACCTGCACACACACACACACACGTACGTGCGTGCACACACACACACACACACACACACACACACACACACACACACACACACACACACACACACACACACACACACGTACGTGCGTGCACACACACATACACACACACACACACACACACACACACACACACACACACACACACACACACACACACACACACACACACACACACACACACAAAATCAATACTGAAACCATGCGTTGTGATGCAGTGCACCACCATCCTGCACACACTCCTGAACTCTGCAGCCAAACAAATGTGCAGCCTTGAAATTCCCAGCAAAAGAATAATTTACATTTAGTGCTCTAAAGATAAAAACAACAGAACAACCTGTCTTCTTTACCTGTCATGTAAAGGCACTTACACACTAGCACCGGCTCTACTTGGCCTGGACCGGGTTTGGAGTGTTCTCATTTAGGAAGCTTTGGATTTTACAGAGCGCAACTGAATGTCTTTTCAGCCCACTTTCTGAAGCGGTCTGCCTGGAGCCAAACTGGTCCGACACACCCACTGCTGACTGATTAGCCTGCTCAAATTGACGTGTACCATAATGGGGGGGGGGGGGGGGGGGGCTCTGATTGGTGGATAGAATCAGCCTGCGGGGACTTCCCACATGCTCAGCTCATTATCGTTCTGGATGCTGTAGAGTTAACCAGCCTCTGACTGAAGCCGTTTTTCTCTATTTCTCACTGCTGTGGGGAGCACGCACACACACACACACACACACACACACACACACACACACACACACACACACACACACACACACACACACACACACACACACACACACACACACACACACACACACAGTGCTGCCAGACACAGCAAAGCAGGATGCAAAATCTGAGTCACAGAGTCTCCAAAAGCAAGACTGCTCAGGCTGCTTTTGTTTAATAATGGAGAAACCGCGGACTTCTGGAGGAAGACAGAATACGGAGTTGTATCCAAAGAACACCGTACCAACTGTAAAGCATGGGGGTGTAAACATCATGCTCTGGAGCTGTTTTTCTTAAAAGGGACCAGTATGACTGATCTAGTAATGGAGAGACCAACGCTTTCCGAACCATTGAGCCAACATGAAGCAAATGGTATGAAATGGTTCAGTGAACCATTTGAACCAAATAACAAAATGAGCGACATCTGCTG